CAGGCTTCGGAACTAGGTCGCCAGGGGTCTGGAACGTGCTGCAAACAGTTGACTCTGAGCATTTGGGCATTTGTTTGGACCCCTCGCAGGCTTTCTACGACTGAGTGTGCAACCTTGTCAGATTTCCCGTTATTTGTTGGGGCGTAACACCTGAGAATGATATCAGCTTCCGCACGCACGGGGTGTTGATGAACTGTTGCATGTCAAACGGACTTTAAAATTTAGATGCAATTTGCAGGCCTGGTTTTGATCAAAGAGAGTCCAAGTCACATATTTTCCACCTAGGTAATAGCAGCAGGTCTGTCACCCCATCTGAATGGGTGGTCTTTTTTCCAGGAAGATTGCTTCCATCCAGATTTTGGCCATTGAATTCAGATCCCACTTTGCAGAAAAATCAATTTACGATATTTAGGGGGTCAGAGATTTGCGGTTCTGATCTGCAGTAAGTTGTCGAGGTATCGGCGCTAGATGCGGGTTGTGTCTCGGGCTATGTTGCCTGGTTGCCCCGGGCCCGGCACTGTTTGCAGAAGCCATAGAAGTGATGCACAGAGGCCAAATGCTCTGCGTTCAAACCCATTTAACTGAGGTGCAGGTGATAGCCTTCCAAAGTATCGGCAATATTCAAGCATTCTTTTGAAACATGAGCCCTGCTATATAATTAGTTCATTCAGTTGATGCGTTTGAAAGGCAACATTCCTGCAAAGTCGCCATACATAGTGAGACATATGACCCCTCTGTCGTCCAATTTCGATGTGTCATCGGGACGCTCAAAGCCGACCAGGTGATCCACCGCAATGTGTTTTTTTTCAATCCATCAGTAAATGGAGATGTGGGGTTTGCTTTCGCCATGTTAGCACATTGAAACCGATTCATTATAGAACATGTGTTCGGGCGCAAAACTACCTGCAGTACGCCGTACTTAGTCCTGGAAGCTGACGGCAAAAAATTGGAACAATGATAGACAAAAATGACTCAATCAGAATAAGCTGAAGGAGTTCAGCCCTGGTTGGCCCTCAGTTCTGAAAAAAGTTGTTGCCGCACACATTTGCGCCACGCCCTTGTCTGCAGTCCGTTGTATCTTGAGATTTTTTGTGATGCCCAAATCCACCTTGCCGGTGATGAACGGGTGAAAGGAGACTGTTGTGTTGAAGTCTTTCAGCTCTGTTGAAGCTGTCCTACATGCGCAATCCCTGCAAACGTACCACGTTCAGGGTCTGTGGGACAGCCTGCAAGTTCCGGCTTTTGCGTCACAAGAGGCCTCTAGAAGGCCCATGGTTGGTTGTTAGAGTCTTGTCTCGGATCAATGTCTTTGCTCCAGCATAGTGACGTCTTGAACGCTCCCGCCCAGTGGAAAAGCTACCGATGGTAGAATGAATGTGGCACTAAGGGCTCCTGGGACAAGGTGCAAAGAACGTGGTACTAGAGTTACTAGAGTGATGCAAGAGAATCAGTTAGCACTGCAGGCTCAGTGCTAGATTGCTTCCCGAAAACACGCGAATTGAGGGGCTGCCAAGCCGTGTAAGACCCCATTTAGCAAGACCGACAGAAACCAAGAAGTCTTGAGAAATAATTGTTTGGCTCTTCCGTTTCCGGTAGCTTGGGTATGGTTGTTGGCTCCTAGTGACATTGGCCACAAGAAGCACGCACATGTTTGCAATGTTTGGAGATCGTCAGGCCCATTGGCCGACCCAGCATCATTTGATTGCCTAAAGCCTTGCGCCCCACGATTCTGCGGACAGAAGTTCAGCGAGTACATCATGGTACACCAAATGAGCAGCTGAAATGATTGGGATATGTATATTATTTATATGGCAAAGCAAAATGCGCCACGTCAAAAATCTTGAGTGAAAAGAATCCCGCCTTGAGCTGTCGCCGAGCACATTTCTTGCGGAAAATTGGATAATTTTGGCGTGCCGTCACCTTTGGAAGTGAAAGCGGTTGCCTGCGGCCTTGTCAAGTCACAGCCGCCCGGCTCAACGTATTTGACTAATTGCCAACGCAAATGTTCAGGGATTTGGTTCTGCTTTATCTTGAGAGCTCGTCAGTCGCCCAAGGCGAATCCTGTGGTGACTGTGCCAAGCACGTGAAACATCCTTATATATACCATCTTATACCGCTGAAGGGGATCGTTTGTGTTCACATTGTGGAAACATCAACTGCAACATGCTAAAGCCTTTGCAGCTGCACATGTTGCACCATCTTCAATTGTCCTTGCTGGCAGTGGCCTATGCAAAGTCGACAAGAATTGTTTTGGCATTCGATTCTGAAATCTGCGACCAAAGTCAAGCGGAATTCTTGAGGTTCTGTCCAATCAAGTGCGACCCTGCGAGACATGTAACAAGCAACCTCATGGGCAGAGGCAGTTGGCAACCTGTTTGCCTCTCACGCAGTGTCTCTGCATGCTTGAGACCTCTTCAGATGCAATCAGCTTGGCTTTCTTCCCTTGCAAAGCTGGGAGGACGTGTCTCTTGTCCATGCTGTGCTTGCGCATTTTCAAGCCTAACAGGCGCAGGAAAGGTAATGCTGGCAGGCTTCAGGAAAGGTAATGCTGGCAGGCTTATTCACACGCATTCCTCGCCATACTTTTCCAAGAGGTTGCGCCATTCTTGTTTGTGCAGGTTTGGCTCTAGACTGCATTCTTGTCAGTTTCCGAATGAGTATCTTGATTGCTGACTTCAAAGGTGCCTCCTGGCAGAATAGTCTGTTGCCTCCAAGCCACGTGTCTTCAATGTCTGCGGTATAGAGATGCGATAGAAGCGCGGTGCCAGGCTTGTTCTCCTGCACCTAGGATCGCGCCTCGTTTTCTGGTGCTTTGACCACTTCTGTGATGTCACTCTGGTCTTGGGAGATGATTTTTGTTCCGATGCTTCGAGTTAGATTCTTCTCCTGTCAACATCAAGTAGAATGGCTGTTTCGGACAAGTCCACGTGTTCACCTTTGGTACAAGGGAATTAGGGAATCCTTTGAATTTTGGATGTGGCCCAAGCCACGTGTCTTCAATGTCTGCGGTATAGAGATGCGATAGAAGCGCGGTGCCAGGCTTGTTCTCCTGCACCTAGGATCGCGCTGGCTTCCAAATAGGATGTTTGGCAGATGGGAGGTTTGACTTCGCCTCGTTTTCTGGTGCTTTGACCACTTCTGTGATGTCACTCTGGTCTTGGGAGATGATTTTTGTTCCGATGCTTCGAATTAGATTCTTTCTCCTGTCAACATCAAGTAGAATGGCTGTTCCGGACAAGTCCACGAGTCACACAGGTCTCTATCCAATTGTACGATTTAATTCGACGTCACGACGTCACCCCCGAATTAACGAGGCAGAATTCTGAAATTAAGGGGATATGTACATAAAGTATCTAACCCTCTGCCTGTACCCGATCCCGCTTGCTCGCGAAGCGCATTGTTGACAACGAGCTCTTGGTTGAGGCGCGAACGGGTGAGAGAGAGGGGAGGGACGAAAAGGAGGTTGGAAAAAGAGTTGAAAGTGCTTGGAGTTGCTGAAAGGGCAGTGAAAAGAATCACATGCACACTGCAATGTGGTTCCTCGGCATGGCTTTCTGGTTTCCTATTCTTTCTTTTCTTGGTTGAGCGATCCGGATGTCTGCTGCCAGGCAAAGCGTGTTCAACGACCTCAACCTGGGCAACGACGTTTTCGTTTTTCAGACGACCTCACTTAATTTCATTTTAAATTATTGAAAACAAGGGACGACCCGAGAAATATTGTAAATTGGTTAGGATGATCATTGGCGTCAAATCTCAGGAACCTGTGAGACATGTAACGTGCAAACTCATGGGCGGAGGCAGTTGGCAACCTGTTTGTCTGAAACGCAGTGTTTCTGCATGCTTGACACCTAGCCTGCGAGCCGCATCGGTTCTTCAGATGCAATCAGCTTGGCTTAAATCCTTGCAAAGCCTTGAGGACGTGTCTCATGGGTTGGTTTGCCCATTACGTCCTTTAAGAGTCTCTGATGCGCAACTGGTTTGCTGCAACTGGGTAATGCTGCCGACTCTTGGAGTTAAGCTAGAAAGACATAGAAAGACGGATGTATCACAAAGAAATGTTGCAGCCCTCCAACGCCAGGCTGCTGCAAACCAAATCATGGCAATCCTGCCCAGGGGTTGTCGTGCAGCTCTACCGAGGGCATGTCGTGCAAAGACACCATGCAGAGTGAGTGTTGTTGCCGTTACCGTTTGTGCTGCTGGCGCAAGTGGCACTTGGGATATTTACAGCCAAATGGCCAGCCGACTCAAATCTCTACAGGCGCGCTATGCAGCTGATCACTGTCGGCATGTCGATCGCAAGGTTTCGTTTGAACGTCTTGGCGAAGAGCCACACCAAGAGGCCGAGCGGTTCTCGTTGTCCAGGGTGGAAAGCATGAGCAGAGGATCATGAGATTAAATGATTTGCAGCAGAAAATATAGAAATTAATTGCTCTTGTCCGGAATGAAGACTAATGAAGCAGAAAACGGTAGGAACAGGTAGCCGCAGGTGATTGGTACTTGTGCAACCACTGTGCTAGGGCGAACCTTTTAAGTTACTTTAAGGAGATGTAAGGAGTAAGCAGCCCTAGTGACTTGGACTTGCCATTTTCTTGTGACAGGTGAGTGGGCGGCCTGATGCACAACAGCTTCCGCTTAGAGGAAAATGGAGATAGGCGCGTCTTGGCCATATAAATCGCTAGGCAGATCTGGTGGCAGTGGGCTTGCACGATTCCATGCAGCAGGTTTATGTTTTAAGCGCTTTTCGGTCTTGTCTTCCTAGTTGTCCTGCTACTGCATGTCACTCCGCAAGGTATGAGCTACGGTTTCCGAAGTGGAAATTGGTTTCTATCAGTTTCAATCCTCCCCTGATATCAATCAAGTCTAAATATCACCCTGAAAATATGGTTTTGTTTGGGCTCCGAAACCTTGGATGTGCATTCCTGCGTCCCTGCCACTTTTCTCTTCTCCGCATTTTGGGCTGGAGAAACTCCAAGCGTTGCGAGCGTCAGCGCTTCGGCGTCATGGCGGTCTGCTGTGGTGCAGATATGTTGGCTACGAAGGTGGGGGAAGCCAAGCCGGTGATCATGCAGCGACTGGTGGAGGAGATACCAGTGGTCGGTCTGAATGCCTGGTGCTTGGGTACGCTAGTTTTGGGGTGCTTAACCACAAAATACCAAAATCATTGGTTCTAATTCTAAGATATCTGTTTCCAGCACGTTTTTCAAAGGGTCACAATCCCCAAAGTGGAGGATGAAAGAAGAAACGCGTGGAAAAGATGTCCTTCTAGAATTCTTTTTTAAACTTTAAACGCGAACATTTTTTCTCACTTGGCAGGTGGGGGTCTCTCAATTTTATGTCGTCTGCTCCTCCCCCGCTCCTCGTCCACCACCCCTCCGCTCTTCGTCCCTCCACCTGCGGAGCGCACCTCTTGTGCCTCTGCGCCGCTCAGCTATAGCTCAAGCTCAGCCCATCGCCGGACCCGAATTTTATCGCATTGTATCGCGAACCGAACCTGCGCGCTATCCTGGCTCTGCAGCTTGCCGGACGCGAATATTATCAACTAGACTGTCAGATATAGACAGTCAGGTCAAATGTCAGATAAAATGCCTGTTGGTGGGGGTCACTCGAATTGCTTGCGTAATGCTTGCGTGCTGTTTAGTTTCTTTCAAATGGAACCCAACCCAACGATGGAAATTGTTCAATCCATTCATTGATGGCCATCACCAGGTTATAACATGTTATAACCACAGATAACGAAAATATTCAATAAACAACATTTTGTTGGTGATTCAGCCGCCGGTCTAAACTTACAAGCACCCATAGACTTGATTATTTTGATGCTAGAATTGCAGTTTGTAGCCATGAAACACAGAACATGTTGGTTGAATCACTTTTGCTGGTTCAATCCCCGTTTCCAGCCGCACGTGCGCCTATGGGTTTGGATAAAAACCTATTACGCCATATTTTTCGGGCTTGCGCATCCAACCAACCCCTCAATCCCATCTATTTTGATGTGAGCAGGAGGTGCCTGCAGATATAAATAAATAAATAAATATATATATATATAATTGTGTGTGTGAGAACGTAGTGTAATGTAATCTAACGCAACACAACGCAATGCAATGCAATGCAATGCAATGTATTGTAATGTAGTGAAACGTAATGTAGTGCTGTAATTCACGTATATATATATATATTATATTTATGGCCCAGCGTCTCGTGGTCCCCCCCGCCCGAGATGGTGATGGTCCCTATATGTACATATGTAAGTTATATATATATATAATTATGTTATATGTATATAATGTATACACACACATGTGTATTTATATGTATACACACGCACACACACACACACATATATATATATATACACATGTATGTGTGTGTATACGTATATATATATATTTATACACATGTGTGTGTATACGTATGTATATGTATGTGTATATGCATATGTCTATGTATCCTTCCCCCCCTGTGGATGTGGTGGGGGGGGTGGGGGTTGGGGGAGTAACCCCCCATACCAAATGCGTTTTGGGGGAGGCCGTGAACACGAGACACGGGACATATGGTACATATATATATATATACACACATATATATATATGTTTATATATATGTTTATATATATGTTTATATATATATATGTTTATATATATGTTTATATATATATATGTTTATATATATATATACACATATATATATACATGTATGTATATATATATATGTATATATATACCTGCTAAACCCTTAGATTGGAAAAAACAACTCTGTTTCCAGAAAACCTAGTTTTTTGCAAACAGTGTAGAAAAAAGTGCTCTAGAGCACTTTTTACCGTTCGAGGCTATTCTTGGGTCTTTAGGGTATATCATTTCCAATCTCAGGTGAACATAACTGTATAGAGGGAGATGTTTGTATATATTTACATACACATATATATATGATATTAAAAATACATAGAGATTTCCTGAAAATTGCACATGCATACAAACACATGCATATACACTATATATATATATATTATATTTGTAATCATCAACATGTGGGATTGAGAAACAATAATATAGCGCACCAAGGAACAAAATTACATGTCCTGTTCCCAAATTCAATTTATATATATTATGAATGGTCTGATTGGTCTGAGGCCAAACTCATAGAGGTAATTAAATACCTTCGTGGGAATGTCAACCTCCGGCTCCCGGAGGAATGGAAGCAATGCTTTCCAACAAGACTGTGATCAAGTTTGATCAGAATGGTTATGGGGAAAGGTATACCCTAAATACCAACAAAATGCTTTGAAACAATTTCACTGCCTACATATATTCGATCAAATGGTTTTGAGGGACAGGTAGGCAGCTGCAGGGAACCCTGAAATTGTAAACTTCATTTTTCATCATTTTTCTGAATGGTCAGGGGGGCATGTTGACCCGGGAGCACCCATGGATTGCCAAATATTGGCTTTGTCACTTTTGTCATGGTTTGAATGGTGGCTATCTGGGTTTTGTTTGACCCACAATGGAAAATTAACAGGAATCTTCAGGTTTTTAAGCGTTTTCCCAAAAAAAAGATAAAATCAAGAAAAACTAAAAAAATGGAAAAAACGGATTGAAAAAAAGCGTAAAATTACGTAAAAAAAAGCGTTCAGATTGGAAATTACTGTTCAAATCCAATTGCGTAAAAAAAACGTACCCGTTCGAAAGCGTTCAAAAAGCGTTCGAAAAGCGTTCGAAAAGCGTTCGAAAACCGTTCGAAACCGTTCGACATTACGCAAAATGTTACGTAAAATGAAAGACTTTTCAAGATCCAAACCATGCCGTCCCCAAAGTCACCTGGACCACTCTGGGAAAACTTGATTCAAAACATTGACCCTTTTCAGATTTACTATCCGCAGTTGACGTGCTGGAAAAGATTTTACCGCAGTGCGCTGCCTCTCTCTTGGTTTTTTTTCAGCTATGCAACATTCACTGGTCACCTGTTTGGAGTCATATCGGCTACTAGAGGTTACACCATAATTTTGAAGGTATTTTGAGACTCATATATCCCTTTTCAATTTACATCAGTTTTACTGACTGGGATGTGCATGCATTTATAGCTTTTGATTGGCAAGTATATAATTTTTCAGTTGGCAAAGCAAACGTCTCAGTCCTGTGGTTGGTTTTTTGTTTCAGCAGTATAAGCCTCACAATCCCAAATCCTGCTAGATCGCGTGAGAAAGGTCAGATGAAATTTCCCCTGATTCCAAAGATTCGCATGCTGCCTACATAACCAGACATGTATCACCTCGTTTGATGGCATTGCGTACCTTCAACCGGTACCTTACCCAGATCATGCTGGCTTGGCGAAGCTGATACCCTGCAGTTGTTTCCCTCTATAAGACTATACATATTTATACACATCAGCTTTATATTGGTGTTTTCTACAAACAACAGCCAGTCAGCTTGAGTTTGGAGGCCATCGTAAGATATCATGCCAAATGGTATGATTTAGTCATTTTGCAAGGAAAACACCTCTAGAGCGTAAAAAAGCGTTCGGATTGGAAAAAACCGTTCCAGAGCACTTTTTGCGTTCAAAATGGCAAAAAACCACATTTTCTTAAAACAGAGCAGAAAAAAGCAATCTGGAGGGTTACCAGGTATATATATGTATATATATATATGTTTATATTTTTATATAAATATATTTCTGTTATATTGGTGCGAAAACGAAAACCATTCATTGGTTGATCCTCCACCTTTCAGGAGCTGCCGCAGATCGCGCCCGAGTTCCTTTTTGCGATGTCCGGACAGCTCCAAGGCGTCCAGCAGGTCATGGAGGAGGCCGGGTCCCAGTGACGTTTGATTTCTTGCCCCGCGTCCTTTATGGACCGATGTCTTTGGTTTGAGAACGGGCGAAGGGGTTCAGGCTAAAGGCTCACCTCCACCAATGCCATAGAACCAGTCATGAATCTACACGAGAAAGTGCCCCAAACCGCCATTCTGGCGCGGCTGGTTGGGGCAAGTCAGTACGCTGTTTAGATCCTTGACCAGCTGGCCCCACGGAAAATCAAACAGAGGGGAACACAAGGAGGCAAAGAAGAGGCAAAAAGAAAGTGCGAGTCAATCCGCACATACCAGCAAAGCTGGCTACGACACAAGCAGTTGGAGGCTGGGAACCATCCCCAAATAGCAGTGGTGACAAAGGTAATAAAGACAGTATTGATGATAGTGATATATAATGGTAATATCGACCGGGGTATTTTGTTTTTGAGACAATGGGATTTGTAATCAATTGTGTTGTGGGGATGTAAAAGAATGAACAGCCACCAATTTGTTATTGAGGTGTGTCTGAACATGCGGGGGGGCCACCATGTAGCATATTTAGCGATCAAACTTGGTTACCAGATCTTCAGACACACCCACATATGGAACATCCCCAGTCAGACTACCGGATGCACAATAAGATAGATAGATGGATGGATAGATAGACAGATAGATAGATAGATTGATTAGATAGAATAGAACAGAATAGGCCAGATTAGACTAGACTAGACTAGACTACACTATACTAGATTACACTAAACTAGACTAGAGTAGACTAGACTAGACTAGCATAGAATGAATAGAACAAATAGAATAGATTATAGATAGGTAGATGGATTGTGAGCCACTAACTTACCAGTTCTGGCATGCACATCCAAGCTGGATTGATGACCCCCGGGTCTTTGGAGATATGGGGTTTTACCAATTCTAATAGTGTTTATCGTTTTTTTGGGGAGTTTGACATTATCATGATGGATAAGGCCTTTGCTCGTCTGCAGACCCAAAATAAATGGAAACGGCAGAGTTGGAGACCGCATTGAAATTATATAGTGGGTAAGTACCATATCTACAACATCCTGCAGAAAAACTTGGTATGGTGAACAAATAGGGTATGCATAGGGATGATGTGTGGGATATTTCCCCCTTCGGGAAACCATTGTTTTTGGTGGTTAGCAGTTCAACTCCATGTGCTGATGGGACCACGGTTTTCCTTCCCCACTTTTGGGAACTGATAGTGTTGAAGATCAAACAGTGGGTCCGACAACAATGGCAAATTGGATGCAAACGCATTCAATCAAACCGAAAAGTGGGATCTATTGCATGTTGTATGTGCCGTTTCGCCCGCGAGATACGCGCGAAACAATGTCTTGGAGGGATCATCCTCACCACGAGCGCATGAGTTACATGAGTTGAAATGAGCAGCCGAGTCAGCAACGTGGTTTACATAAGGCAAACATGCTGAGAACCCACAAATCTTCACAATCTGTGTGTGCAAGTGTCACCAGCTCTTTTGGATTTTCCCTTGAACCCCATGGATTTTTGGATTTTTTGGGGCGCCGCAGTAAGATTTGGATGCAACTCATCGTCACAAAACCCTCTAAAGCAAACCGCGTGAAAAACAGAACAATGTCAATCATCCAGTGATGGGAGTCCTGGTCTGAAGATTTCCCGTTTCTATCGATTCCATCCGTGCAAAGATGGTTTTCCTTTTAAAGATAATTTTCCGAAAAACTGCAGGAACACTTAATTTTGATGGTCCAAAACAACAATGTCGCTTGGCATTTCCCTTACATTCAAGAGCTGACGTTCGACAGCAGGTCAATGCGAAGATTGCTCACTTGCAGGAGAGATGGGAACCTCATGGTGTGTCAAATATGTGGACCCGAACCTAATCCTTCCACACGTGTTTTCACCAACCAAAATTGGTACCCATCTACCTATCTATCTACCTATCTATCTATCTACCTAGCTATCTATCTATGTATCTATCTACCTAACTAATCTATCTATGTAATCTATTCTATTCTATTCTGTTCTGTTCTGTTCTGCTTTATTCTATTCTGTTCTATTTTATTCTAGTCTATTCTATTCTATTTTCTTCCTTTTTTTCTATTCTATACAACCTATCTAATCTATCTATCCATCCATCCATCCATCCATCTATCTATCTATCTAGTCTAATCTAATCTAATCTAATCTAATCTATAATCTAATCTATAATCTAATCTAATCTAATCTAATCTAATCTAATCTAATCTAATCTAATCTATCTAATCTATCTAATCTATCTATCTATCTACCTACCTATCTATCTATCTATCTAATCTAATCTAATCTAATCTAACCTAATCTATCTATCTATCTATCTATCTATCTATCTATCGATCAAATAATCTATCTGTCTACCTACCTACCTACCTACCTACCTACCTTACCTACCTTACCTACCTAACCTACCTAACCTACCTACCTACCTACCTTACCTACCTACCTACCTACCTCCCTACCTCCTTACCTACCTCCTTATTTACCTACCTAATCTATCAATCAGTCAGTCAGTCAACCAACCAACCAACCAATCAATCAATCAATCAATCAACCAATCAATCAATCAATCAATCAGTCAATCACATCAATCCATCAATCCATCAATCCATCTATCTATCAATCTATCTTTCTATCTATCTACCTGTATTAATTCATTTATCTTTTATTTTTCTATTTCTGTATTTGTTTATTTATTGATTGATTTATTTATTTAAATTTATATATGTGGGTGTATATCGTATGTATGTATATATGTATATATATACATATGTATCTAACCAACACAAAAAGGGTTCAACCATGGACCAGATATGAATAGATATCCCATGATATCCCATGCCTTGCCCCCTATTGACATGAACTTCTCCCTAGAAACCGCGGTTTAATGTTGAATCTATTCATTTTGGGGACTGTATGAAAATGAGAAAGTTCATGTTTTTTGGGGGATGGGGTTGACATTGAGGGAACCTTTGGAGGTATTTGAACCTGCCAATCTGCTGACGGGTGTGGTTTATGATAGATGCGATGGGATGCTCAAACAGTTGACCCATGACAATTTCCGTTGAACTTGCTACCCAGGAGGGCCGGTATCAGCCAGTTGCACACATTACAATCCCATCCACCAAACATCAATACATGTTAATACCACCTTTCGAGGAAACCCTGATTTGTGTGGGATCTCTTCATTTTCGCTTCCGTGTGGTCATCTCAGCTTCCAGGAGCAGATCAACTCCAAGCTGACTCAGGGACTCATGAAGGAGGTTCAGCGGCTACGAAATGGCCATCTTGCTGCTTCCACCCATCCCAAAAACGAGTATGGAAGGAACTTTCCCTGGGGGATTCCTTGGATCCTGGAAGATGTTTTTGCGAAATGGCCATGTTTGGGCATCATGTTGGTGCTCAATGTTTTCCTATATTGGATCAACAACTTGGGGAAGGGGCAGTGGGGACAGGAAATCCCCTAAAATAGATGATGACATGGACCAACGCAGAATGCCAGCCTTACAACGCAGATTTGGGGCAAATAACGTCAAATAACATCAAATAATCATGACCGCTGGATTCATAATTTTGCAAACTGGGGTCATAACCATCAAAACCCAGCTTCTTCCAAGTATCTTGCCGGGAACTGCTGAAACGTTGGGGCAGCAAAGTCATGCTAAGTCAACATTGCATTTTTTTGCCACAAAATGGGGTGCCTTTCTTGCCCAGCTATCATACTTGCTTTCTCCTTTTTTCTTTGCGGTTTAGTATCCGCATCCCAGCAAGAAACAAAAAATATATCGGATATCAAAGGCCATCCAATATCGATATATATATATATATCTATAGATAAGGTTAGCAATATCATCCAATATCCATATCTAAGGTATTCTCATGTTCCCTTCAATTTGTCAGAAATCATCCCCCATCCCGCCACGTTTCGGCGTTCCAGATGTTCCAGATGTTCCAGGTCACGCAACTGTCGCACCTGTCCGAAAAGGTGAGTTTGCCGAGTATACCAGCTGAGGTGGCCTCTTGGGCTCATGGGATTTCCAGGCTACTCCCAACTGCCCAAGTCGTGGCGAAATCCCAAAAATCTTGAAATTAGCTTGGGGGAAGGCTTTTGTGGAAGTCGTGGCGATGCGGCGTTTAGCTTGTGTTTAGGGTAGGTTGCTGTTTTACTATCTCATGTAGACCTAAAGTGGCGAAGCGGCGTTTAGGTTGTGTTTGGGGTAGGGCGTTGTTTTACTATTAGCATAGTGCTTTAATCTTGCTAGTTGCGTTCTCATTGTGTTTGGGATGGTTGCTGTTGGGTTCTGCAGCTACTGGCGTCTTGCTGTTGCTGCGGCTGCTGGTTCGACGGCTGCTGCTGTTGCTGTTTCCGGGTACTTCTACACAACGCTGGGATTATCATCTCTACACTGCCATGGCGGTGTGCTGGGATTCTGAAAATTGTCATTGTTTCGCTACCAGTGATCCAAGGAAGGGCAGGTTTGCGGCTTGCGGGCCAAAGTCCATGTGTGTAGATGCGGGGCTTTTTCCGTACCTCGTTTTGACCTCGTTTTGGACCTCGTTTTTTTTCCTTTATCAGAACCCATCCTGCAGTATACAAACTAGGAAAAGGGCCTGCTTCGCGTTTTTGTTTGTGGGCGTCAACAGTGCCCACGAAAAAAGGCCCGTTGGAAACCGGCGTTCCGATGGGATTCGATCAAAAACGAATAGAACATAATAGAACCATGATAGTTTGGTCAAGGCTTGTTAAAGCTAGCGTTTCCAATGGGGAAAGGGGTTTTGCAAGGTCTGTGCCGGGACAGGGGTCGTGGCGAGCGTTTTGATTGGGAATAGCTGTCAAACGCAAACATTGCAAGGACTTGGGCGTATGGGTGTATGCTATGGTTGGATGACAGGGATTTCCTAAGCCATGTTTTTTTTCTGAGGGGAAATATCCAATGTAGTTTTTTTTTCTAAGCCGACCCTTTTGGAGTGGAAGGTAATCCAGGGTCCTAATTCTTAAATTTTTGAGAGATGTATCCAATTGCCTTAAACTGGGATGAAACCAATTGCAACTTCTCTTTGGCAAGTCTTCTTTGCCATCCACTGCTCATATACTTTCTGGCAACCCAGCATGGAAAAATCTGGTGTCTGCAATTTCTACGGTATCCATTTTTTCACGTGGTTTTCCGACTCATGTAACGGTTCCTTCACCTGGATCGGACCCCTATAGACCAAAAGCACGTGGTACACCATGTTTTCTTGTTGCCATATCTGACTCTACAAATATTCAATGTGGGGGTGTGGTCCAGCAGTCATCACTTGGTTCAGGTTGGTGGTTTGGAATGTCAGGGGCCCTGTCTTGAGGAAGGAGATGTACACTACAAGAAGCAGCCCCAAGATGCCCAGATCACCAGCCCAAATGACCTGGCAATCATTGGTTTGACTTTGTCATCCCTGAGTCGGCTTTACCTGTTAAAACCAGATCCAGGAGAAGTTGATTGTTTCTATTGCTGGGATTCATAAGCCTCAAACTTTGAAGCATCATCCAGTTTCTATTCGCATTCATTGGTTATCCTGTTCGTTTCAGACCAATTCAACCCAAGCCGGGTTTCGAACCAAAAACACACATTTGGGATTTCCGCCCCCCTTGCCCTTCCAAGAACTGTGGATTTCTCTCGCGATGGCCATTGAATCTAAGGATTTGATTGCTTCTGGGGCCGGCACATTGGCCCCCCACCTGGGCTCCGTGGCATGGAATGATGGCTGCAGATGACACAGAAAACTGGCGACACCGTACAAAACTGACAAACAAGTACACACACAAAATTATTTAATATATAGCATATAGTATACAACATATATATATAATGTATAGCATATAGTATATAATTTATATGATATATGACATATATTATACACCATTTAATATATAACATACCACATATTATATATAGAATATGGTATATAATGTGTAATATAATGTATTATATATAATATAATATACAATGTATAACACATAGTATATAATATGTGACATATAACATACAACATATCATACATAATATATAACGTTTAGCATTTAACATATAACATATAACATACAACATTTAATATATAACATTTTGTATATATAACATACAGCATTTAATAATATAACATTTAATAAATCACATTTTATGTATCACATATAGTATAGAATATATAGTAAATCTTTAACATATCAAAATAACATATAATATAAAATATGTAACATATAGTATTATAAATATGACATTTAATATTTTACATTTGATATATAACATATAGTATATAATATAAAACATATAATATACAACATATAGTACTATATATATGACATATAATATATTACATATCATATTTAACATTTAGTAAGTAAGATATATATATATAACATAAAATATACAGCATATAATTTTTGATATATAACAAATAGTATTTAATAGATAACATACAATAAATTACATATAATATAAAACCTTTAATACATAATAATATATAGTATATAATATATATAACATATAGTACATAATACTTAATATATACTTGAACATATTTTACAAGAGCTATTTCAATATTATTTATATATATATATATCATTTAATTCATAATATGTTATATTATTTCATATTGACTTTAACTTTGAACATATAACATATATATATATATATGTATAGAACAATTTATTTAACATATAACATATATAATGTTTAATATTTATTTTTTTAACAGATAATTTAATATACATAATATATTTGAAATAACATATATATATATATCATAATATTGATATTTTATATTACATATATCATTTGATATTTAGTATAATATATTATATGATATTGAAAGTAATGTATAACATATAACATACAACATATAACATATAACATATATATATAGTTAAAATAATATATAGTTAATAATACACAACACATGATATATAATATTTAACATATAAACAATAATACATTTCATATTTTTTTTGGCATTTTATATATGATTCATATAATATATATATATATACTTAGTTTATAAGTTTCAAAAAATAACGCATAATCATATTATATTCAGTATATAATTTATTATCTATAATATATGATGTAGAATGTATTTGATGGCGATGGCTGTTGCATCCAGATGCATATGGTAGATTCACTTTTGTGACTGTATGGGTTCGCATACGTGCACACACGTTCCCGTGCAACCAAGGCTCTAAGTCAGCAGGGAACATTGTGATATTTTGCTAATCAAGAAGAGGGATCAGCCAACAGTATTTGTTGGTTCTCACCACACCACAAAAAACATGACCAGCTTTGTTTCTTGATGTTTTGTTGTTTTCTCCCGATCTTTTTTTCTCTTTCTTCCAAAGAGGTTTTAGGGCAAGGAGTGGTTTCACCCCATGACTTGAGGTGATCGAATTCAGGAGCCCGGCTTGGAGGATGAGGAGATAACACCGGAAGAGCCCCTTGGTCGATGCGATGGTGGGATAGATTGATCCAGGGATGCTGCAAATTCAATTTATAGAATTTTGATATTTTTTTAAAAATGATGTTCTAAATTCTGAACGTATGGTTTTGCGCCTTTTGCGATAGGCAATATGCAGCGGCGATGCGCACAGATGGAACATCAATTTGCAGGGCATATTTTGCTGATGCCATATGACCGACAACTTACCATTGTGGGTTGGTATCTGAAATTGTTGATGGTTTGTGCCGTCCAGATGTTTATGTTGTGGTGCTTGTTGTCGACAATCTCTTTGTCATATGGTTGGATGCTCCTAGAATTGGTTCTCACAAGTACTTGAGTATGTAGAGAGATCCAAAACTATTCATCTAGACAATTGTTCTATTCAGAATCCTTCTTTGCAAGGCGGGGCCCCCAATTTTGGGGATCCATGAATAACGAATCAGGCACTCAAAAAAAATCGTTCATGACAAAGTCCTGCACTCAGGACCTTTGACTTCCAGGCTGGGCCGGGCCCAGAGGTATTATATAAACAGTTTCGGAAGTTTCTTTAAACATATTTTCCCGTTAATTAACCATCATCAACCATCAAGAACCATGATGAAACATCATTGTTGTTTTAAAGATATTATATGTATATACTCTATATATATATAATTAGTTATATTAATAGTTATTCTCCGTTTTTAAAGGACATCATGAAACATCACATTGCCATTCCCCCCAACTACCATGATGAGCCTGCCAAATAGGGGAAGTTGCTATTCTCAGGGTCTATCTATGTTGATTGGGGGGATCTTGTAGAACAACCGTTTATTACACATGACATTGAGAAACCCTCAACTTCTTGGGTCGCTGAAGAGGGGCGTTTCCATTTCTGAGGGGTAATCTATGGGGTAAACACCCTCGGGGTGGGGTGAATCGAAGGAAGAATGAGCCACTGGAACGTTTGACGGGTGCGCTGAAAAAACAAGATGAAGGCGTACGAAAAGGGGGAAAAGACTTCATTCTAGGATCATGTGGTAAAGCAATAGTAAACCATCCCAAAATTTACCATAAAGGAGTGGTATAAGCCATCAAAATACGGGTGTTTTATTATTGCTTTACTAACATGAATTGTTTTCTCTTCCCAGATTTCATCGAGATGCACGAAGCATCACGAGATTTGCCCATGAACTCCTTGAAAATTGTATAAAATGGTCTAAGTCGGGCTGTCCCACTCTCCAACCGGGTCCACTATCTTTCTTGTTGAATTCCCCTGCTTTTCCTGGTTCAATCTCGTAAGTCTCAAATAACTCCCAAATCTTTCACCCCAATCCCAATGGATTTTCTCATCTAATCGAGGCTTTCTATTTCGTTCAATAAATAACTCTGCCCAATTGCAGCCCCCTCAGGATACAGACGGGCACCTCGAGGCGCATGAAATCTGTGATTTTTTTCCCGTTTTGATCTGGCTAAGCCACCGGCTGGTGATATATTCCACGGTGATTTCCACGTTTTTTTTCTGTTGAGCCACAGCTCCCATTGGTAGCGTTCGTAGGACCTCAAAGAGCAGTTCAAGCGCTGCGATGTCACGAGCAACGGCTGCTTGAGCCAGAGGGAACAGGAAAAACCAACAGGGGAATATTAACTATATTTAAGCGATTTAAGCCATGTTTCTGGGGTATGTCCAATTGGAATAGGTGAACAATGGTGTTCACATATTCCATTAGATTTGTGTTCACATTCTTGGATTGTTTATCACAATTTTCAGATCTTTTCAAAAGGGATTTTTGGGGAAGCAAATGTGGGTAACAGAAGACAGTCGTGGGCGCTGCTCGGGATTCAGCAGGATGCCATGGCCACGGTGGTGATTCAATGTAGTCATGGTCGCCGTGGTCATGGTAATTATAGGTCAATTATATAGACATTGGCAATTTTCACTGGTTATGGTAAATTATCAGACGTAATTTTTTGGTTCCTGATGGACAGCCACCACGACCAGTTGCTCAGGCTGGGTCTCTGCACAAGAGCTGGTCGCTCTGGCCTTTAGCCATGGCGAACAGTTGCAGCTGAGCAGCGTCGCTTGGGACGTGTCGCCCATGTCTCAAACTTTTGTCCCGCTTATTCATTGGGTTATCCATTGAGTTTTCCAATGTTATCACGCAACATTGCCATTTTTAGGTACAGTATCCATCTTTTTGAGACACACCGGAATTCAACATATATGTTTTTGTATTCAGATCTGATTGGGTATGAAGAGATGTGGGGACTGACTGGTGTCTAAAAACAGGAAACATGGAGATTCCAGACAATATCTTTACAGTGGCTCTTTCTTCATCACATCATGTAGCTCAAAGATAGACATCCCAACCCACCAGCAGGCGACTAGGATATTCCATATCTGAGAGTGCTTCCCCTAAATCTGATTCTCATGCCCAAACCCGATAATTTCCATGGAGCAAAGATAGGTTTCCATCTTCCATATTTGTTGGAGTACAGCCCAATCAATCTCAGCAGTATTACCAAACAGGTGATCGTTTACCAATCTTGGGGACTCCAAGATATCATCCAAATCATTGGTCATTTTTGATAAGGGGGTGGTCTACAGCATTGGGTCTACCAATTACTTTTCAAGTATCATTATTGTCACTGCGATTCGTAAAGATTACTAGGCCGCTACTATCATGTGTACACCACATTAAATAGATTATCTAAGATTAATTACTGTACTCAAGATAACATGGCATCACTGATGGCTTAACTTCTGCACATGATTGCCACATTACAAAGCACCAAGAAATTAAAGCAGTAATTTTTATCACACTATTTCACTAGGCAATTTTTACAACATGTTATCTTTTCAATGGTTTCCTATTAAAAAACACATGTTTTGACTCTTCAGCATCTTTCAGCTGGTTTTTCACCTTGCCTCCATAGGTTTTTTTTTAATGTTTTTTTTTCTTTTTTTGCTCGCAGGTGCTGAAGCTCTGCACGTATCTGGCCTCGCAGCCTGCTGCCACGCGAGTGTCGAAGCGGATCTCCCTGGTACAGGATCTCGATGAGGAACAGCTGCGACTTGGATGATGGGAGATCCGGCTGCGTTGAAACGGGCGTCCCGTGTTTTTACAAAGAACCACGGTGGTTTCGTGTTTTTTTTTTTGAACGCGGAAAAACCGCCAAAAAAAGGGCCTTGAAATGGTTACCTAATATGTTTTAGCATTTTCCGGAATAGGGTTTTCCGGCAAGATCAATGGTGATCATCAAAGAAGTGGAGGTTTGGGCGCTTTTTTGTTTTTTTGGTTGGAAGGCGGGATGGCCGGACGGCCAATCATGATCATGGGGACATCTGGGGACTCGCAGCCTGCCCAAACTTAGATTGTTAAGACTCGCCCCTAGGAAAGTGGTTGTCGGTAGTGGTTGTCGGTGGTCAATTAGCTATATTTTGGGTGGAATCCATCATCGTGAATTACTTTAGGCACCCTTTGCTGCACTCTTCAGTGCATTATTTCATGACCCCTCGTGGGTGAGGTAGACTTTTCATCAAAGAATTGGGCAATCATTAGGAAGTTTGGCGATCATCTAATCATGTTGTCGATCATCCCTACATCATTGACAGTGCTGATCCTGGCATGGTGGAGCTCCCACTGCATTGGGAACTATGGTGCTGATCCCAATGCTGGATGCCGATAGATGCTGAACATTGCTGAACCATATCCAATTTTTTCGATGATCCGTATCCAATTTACTGGCAGTTAGTTCACATTCTGGTCAAATGCCCACCTCAACGTTTGCGCTGCTACACACTGGTGCTGAATAAATCACGCCCAACTGGCCTACGCTTTCAAAAGGTTGCAGCATCTTTCAGTTCCCAAGAGAGACTGACAGTCTGACCCTTTTCAAACCAAGTTTGACAGAGAACATGGAATTGATTAAACTGACTCCAGAAAACCAGGAGATGCCACATAGATTTGGGGATCAGCACTGGTATGTACCGGAACAGAATCCCACAGAAATTTGACCCATGCCAAATTGTTGGCCCTTGTTGGCTACATTTCCACTAGATTCATCTAGATTCCACATTTGGTTTAGTTATGTAAAATTCATCTTTACCATATGTTTATTGGTGGTTCAATTCCCCACATGGGCACGTATCATTTGCTCCATTGGATCCCCTTAAATGGCACAAGTTGGTTGACGTTTTGCAACAGTGTGGAACATAAATCCTTCTGGATTCCAACGTTTTTCCACAGAAATTGCTTTTTAAATTGCTTTAAAAGACTTATCATGACTTCTCCAATTTTTGACTAAGTAAATATATGATGAATAATGACTAAGTAGCAGAAACTAAGTAATAGTCCTAGTTTTGGTCAAATAATGATGAATAATGACTAAGTGGCAGCATTTTGTTTGACTCATCCGATCCATCGGATTTTGATTCCTCGAGGAAACAAGAGCTGGATCTCCACGGATTCCTATCCCTTCGTGCACGGACAGGCTTCGAAGGGGCTGCCAAGGACGGTCATTCTGTGGGACGGCTGGACGGAATCCCCCAAAATCTCTCCCAGATCAGGGTATGATGAAGTTTTCAATGCCTAGCAATTTACGGTATATCGGTATAAATATAAACATGTATAAAATCGTATAAAAAGCTGCCCTGGGACCCAGTTTCAGATTTTGATGGATTTTTGGCCCAGTGGTTTTTGGACGCCTTTAAAAGGACATCTACGAGACAGCGGAGGCATTGAACAGGCGAAGCTGGCGATGGCGGCCATGGGTCAGCTGGGTTATATGGGTTCTATATCTATCTACTAGTATATATTAAGTTCCCAAAAATGTCCAAACAGACAGCACATATCTCCCTGAGACTCTTAAAAAAATTGACCCATGGTTGGAAAGGGCTGCTAGTGTGTCTCAGATATCTTGGGTTTCTACCGCATCCGCGCTGCATGCCAGCAAGAGACAATGATTATTTTGGTGCCAGCTGGGTCCCTCTATTTGTGTATGTGCCTTAAATATTGTATAATATTGTGACGATTCCCTGTCGAGACCTGTAGCTTAATGCGTGCACGCTCCCGTGGGAAAACCACGCTCGCGAAGTTGCTTCCAAGTGCTGCCTCAGCAGATTTGGACTCCATGTGTTTTGCACCCTCTCTTTGGTGGAATTTGGATGAATTTGACCAAGAAACAAGACACCTGTGTCATTTGAATGCTAGCAGTGCTAGCAGTCTCTCTTGACTCACGATCAGCAGACAGGGCGCTAGATGAGGAAAACCGCATCTACAAATTTGAAAACGCCACTTCGGCTGCATTTGGCCAGTTGGAACATGTTGGTAGTTGGTACTGCAGCCCAGGAAGATGGGAATATGAATCCATGCGCCTAGGTCTGTGGTAAGAGATGGCGAGCAAGATGAATGTGTTTTTTTTTCCGCATCAGAGATGATGCATTGATGAATTAATGATGCATTAATGATGACTATAGAACATTAATGATCAGACAATTTCAGGCAGAAAGAAGTGAATTAATGATGAATTTGTCTGAAATCTCTGCTGGACCAATACTCCAGGATCAAGAGACGTTGCGACGGCGGCATCTGATCAACATGGTGAGACTGTTCATGGATGCCACTTGGCCTGAAGGGCATCACATTTTTTAAACATCTGTATATATATATGTCATGTCATGTCATATCATATCATATCATGTCATATCATATCATATAATGTTATATCGCATCGTATCGTATTGTATCTTTTCATATCACATCATGTCTAGTTATATTTGATACTATGAGTCACGTGGATTTTGCAAGGACATCAGGGTTCACCAACATTTAACCATTGCTGAAGTTTCATGGTCTGATTCGCACCCTTTTAAACGAGGAATATCAGAACCAGTTTCTGGCTGGCAGGGTATCTATGATTAGCATTGTCATGCATTGTCCAGTTGCACATGGTGTTTTGCCTCACCTGTTTCTGCACCAGACCGTGGATCTCTAGGATCAGAGAAAGATGATAAATATGAGAAAGACACGGCCCAAAGGTATTAGGATAACATGGCCAACAGCCTAGAAGCCAACTGGACTGAAATGCAAGATATGGCTCCAGAGGACTACATTGGTTGAGTATTAGCTGATTAGCTGTGTGGTTAAACCATGTTTTTAAACCATGTTTTACTGCCAGGTAGGCATCGTGCTGGTCATCGCCATCAATGCGGTGTGCATTGGTATCAGCACCCGGGCTGACGGTCATGTCACCATGGTTTCTCCCAAAGCGATAACACCACCCGGGATCATTGAAGGGTATAGTATAGTTCCCATATGCTCCTATTCCACATTCATAGTATGTTTGAATTATTTGTCCAATCATTTAGAGCATGGATTTAGTGAATGTTAGTGATAATGAGATCATTGGATGAGCATGGCATAGTAAGTACGATGACCTAAATGACATTTCGAAAGGGGGCAATTTCATTGTCATCACATTTTAAGAATGTCCTTGAGTGTCTAATCCCGCAGCAATTCTGTTCTATTCGTTTTTTTTTTCTTAGGTCGATGGTCTTCATTTGTGGGGCTCAAAACCATCCTTGATTTTCATGAGGTGCGGATCAAAATCCGGATGCCGTGCTTTGGGAAGTGCTGGAGCTGGTGTTTTTTGGCATCTACTTCTTGGAGTCTCTGCACTTGAGATGCGGGATGATGGATGATGTGGGTCTGGCCGAGGGGTTGGCCATTGGTAGGTTCTGAAATCACCCAATCTTGGGGGTAAACGATTGGGAGCTATACGAGCTTGACTTCACCTTGATGATTGAACTGTGGTGAACTTCTGGTGTTGCCTAGCTTTCTCGTTGCCAATTCATAAGGTGTCAGCGTTTCAAGGAACTGAGAGTTTTTTAAATTTAAGCTGCCTTGCACTCAGGAATTCATTGTGAAAGCCTGCTTTCTAGATCGGTGTAACTACTGGGTGGGGCCTGACTGGAGCCTCTCGGACGGAGTGATGATTTATTTCAAGCAGGGGAGTGGACTGGTAAGCGGTTGGCAGGAGATGGTAGGATGTTTGAAGGCAGACCTGATGATGATGATGATGATGATGGTGATGATGCTGATGAGGTGATGAGGACGGTGATCAGCATCAGCATCACTACCACGACCATCATCAGCAACAACAGCATCAGCCCAAGTTCGGAGTTCATGGCGTCAACCGCAGTCCTAGGCTGGAACATCTTTGACTTTATTTGCTTGATGATCAGCGCTGTGGAACTGTCCATCAGATACATTGGGCGCCTCATGGATGGAGGCCGGGAATTCTTGTGGCCGGTCTCCTGGGATGTTGATGTCCATCGTCATGCTGGTATGTCATAGTATTCTATGCTAGACAAGATCTATCCATGTCCATATCTATCCATATCCATCCATATCTATCCATATCTATCCATATTTATCCATATTTATCCATATTTATCCTTTCATTTTGCTGGAGATGATTCTGAAATCTCTCCAACACCCGTGCGAGGCTCCAACAGCCCGTCAGGACTAGCTCTCTTGAAGGCGGCGACAAGGGCATAATTTGGCTGATCATCCTAGACCGCGCACGAAAAAACACAGAGGAGCATGCCTAGATGAACACACAAAACGAAAAAGAGGGATAGAAAAGTAGATAGGTAGATAGATCTATTGATCAATAGGTATGCAAGTAGGATGAAATAGGAATGTAATATATCCCAACAGATGTACAGAGATCTTCTATGCCTCAACCGTTCTTTCTTTGTAAACATGGGTGTTTTACAACCAGGAACTCAGTTAGGTTATCACCTTGGACATGCCATGCAAAGCATATCAGAACACAGACACATGAAACAATTCGATACACATTTCGCATTTCGTTACATACCATCACTGTATTGCATCACTAAAAAACTGTGGACAGTTTTCTATAGACATGTAATTTGCATCACGTGCGCACCGCGGGATAGTATGGGTTCTAGCACAGCATCATCAGACCGGATTTCCAACTACTGGAGGGCAAACATTGGCCCGACGACCCGTTTTGTGTTCCATCATGTTGAGTACTGTAAGTCCCCATTGGCTGTACGCCCAGTGATCCCAATGTGTGTCCCTCAACTTGTAAAAGTTGTTGGGTACGGTAAAGATGGCAATTGGGTGGCTCCCCTATTGTCCCAGAATCATCCAGAATCGCCGGGTTTCCGGGAATATTCCTTTGACCCTTTGGTAATCAAGCATGGCAATCGAAAATCCCTCATTTATGGATGATATGCCCAGCTATAGAACCTCCATTTATACGGAATTCCGAGTTGCCATGCTTGATGACACCTGAGGGAAACCAATCTGTTGATTTCAAGGCCAGAATCCTCTGAGTCGCCACGACGGTGAGGTGTTGCGACTGGCAAGACTAGCACGACTCGTGCGGGTGATGCGTTTCAAAGCCTTCAAGGATGGGGTGATTCGTGACGGGGATGGCTGGAAACCATTGGAAACCTACTGAGCAGTGACTGCTAAACTTCGGTGGGTTGATGATGATAGGGGATTATATTACCCATAGGATCCATGTATGGTATATATACTAACATTGGGGGTATATTGATGGTAAATGTTACCATATATAGCATACATGGATCCTATGGATTATATATATAACTAACCAATTGTGGATTCCCACGATCCAAGAGCTGGGAATTCCGTTCTCAACCACCCCGTACAGAGTGAACCCTATTGATTGACTTTCCATAAGAATGGGGCGCCTCAAGGCCTCAAGCAATAGATTTGAGGCTAGGTGGATACTTTTTGATGTGGGGCGAAGATCCGCCAGCTACTAGGTGTTTTGATGTGACTATCAGGATACTGTGTGGTTTTGATCACCACATACCAGGGACCCGGGTGCCCATGGACTTGCCAATGAACTCACCAACTTACCCAGATTTAAAGGATTTTCACAGTATCAGTAGCCCAAAGTTTGCTCGCTGAATCCTTTGTGGCCTGCATTTGCTTGGAGTCTTTGTGGGTCAGGGGCCTGATTAGAAAGTGGATGTTAAACAGATCCCCCCGCAATTTTCAATACCACCCTTAAACCTGGTTTGGTATTGATATAATCCCATCCCCCTAATCTTAAACACCCCCGATTTATGGTCTCACATAAATATGTGTACATCCCCTACTAAACTATGGTTTCCTGTTGGTGTTTAATATTGGGGGATGGGATTATTCATTTTCTACCGGGAGTTGGGCTGGAAGGGCTGGGCCCTCTTGAAGTTCATCATGGGAGTGGGACCATGACTGGAGTAGCCCACTGGAGCAGACTCAAAGTCTAAAATATCGCCATTGGCATCACTTGTAAGATCTTAGAAAAACAGGTTGTGGTAGACTCGATGGATGGATGGATGGATGGATGGATGGACGGATGGATGGATACAGTAGGTAGATGCAAGTATCGGACGGAGCACATGTAGATCATTGATGCCCATGGTCCATGGTTTTGGACCGTTGAGCATGTTGAGCCGTTCCGAAGAGAGTGCCAGAGACTGAGTTTCCGGTTTCTTTGTTTGGGGGGGCACAGGCGAAAGGTCTGGTTTCCGTAAATGCGCTATGCACAGACAATGCACTTTCTGATCTGATTTCATGATATTTCATGTATGTCTACCGTCCTGGAACTTGTTGGAAAGCTCGGCCTTTGAGCCATAGCCACAGCTATTTGGAGGATTCACTGGCTTCAGATTCCCATGGATTTCCCCATGGTGAGATTTCCCACAGGAGCTGAAGTTGATGGCCCTTGGCCTCTTCTCAGGTCTGAAGGCGCTCTTCTGGGCGTCCCTTGATTCCATCATTTCATATTTCTTCAGGATTTAAAGGCCATACTCTATATATCTGTACATATACCTATATCATGTATCATCTTATATCATCCCATACGTCTATATACCTATATATTATATGTATATATATATATACCTATATATTATATGTATATATATATATGTATATATGTATACACATATGTATATATGTATATATATATATATGTATATATATATGTATATATATATATGTATATATATACATATGTATATGTATACGGTCCTGACTTTGCTGGTTGAACCAGCGACGAAGCTTGCATTCATTTGAATTCACTGATCATGCCGCAGCGTAAAGCTTCTGTGTGCTCGCGGAAAAATACATATTATCCGGATATCCCATTAGCACCCAATTTTTGCAATCATTAATCCATATTAATCCCTTCCCCCATTCATATTAAACATCACCCAAACGAAACCATGGTGGATGTAGGGAATTTCCACCATTGGGACCATAAAAATTGGGGTGGTCAAGATTACCCTCTGGTAAACCTACAAAAAGCTATTGAAAATGGCCATAGAAATAGTGAGTTTTCCCATTAAAAATGGTGATTTTCCATAGTAAAATGTTAGTTTACCAGAGGGTAGGGTGATGGGATTATTGTGGCCCCCCCCAAAAAGGAATGCGAACGCCTGAGGATCGTCTTGTTGATGGCGGTGGTCTTCACGATGAGCGTCGTGACGCAGTCCTTTTTTGGAGAGAATCCCGCCCACGAAAGCTCCAATGGATTTGATGGGCAAATGGGTTTATTATATATATACTGTATATATATATATATATACATATACATATATATATATAGATATATATATATATATGTACATATAGATGTATAAACCACCATCAATGGATATATGATATGCAAATAGATATACAGATGTATGTGATGATATAAGATGATATAGGAAATGATGGTTTCCATAGTCATGGGGGATAACCCAATAACTGGATGGTTTATTTCAAGGAAAATCCCCTATTAAAAATGGATGATCTATATAGGGGTACCCCGATTTTGGGAAATCCCCAAATGGCACAAAAAATAGGTAAATTCCCATTTCTTATTCTGACGCAGGCAAAGATCTTTTCAAAAGAACGTTAAAGAACATAAAAAACATAAAGAGTTTTAATTAATAATGTTAACTATCCGATTTGCAGTTTTTCTTTTGAAGACATATGTTTCTCCGATTTGCATTTTTTCCGCCGGATTCTCATGGACTGTCCACTATTCATCCAGCTGAGGTGGTGAGTGACAGACCTAGAAGCTAAAATGAGGATGACTCACAATTTAGATATGTTCAAATTTTAGATATCGGCATGAGTTCCAAATTCCATGGCTATTTTTGTTGGGTTTTACTAAGTTTTACTAGTTCCTTGAAGAGCCTTCACCTTTCATATGTCGCCATCCTCAGGGTAGTGGAGGAGTTCAGCACTATCGATCGGTCCATGTTCACCCTTTTCCGCTGCGTCACCCAGACCTGCGAAACCATCACAGGTGACAAACATCGGGGATGGCGCATAAATTCGGGCCGTTTGTAGGAACAAAAATCGGAGATGATGGGAGGCTGGGTACCATGAACAAATGAGGACCTTGTAGGATCTTGTAGGGTTTGAAGGAATTTGCTGAGCGAAACATGCCGAAATGGTGATATTTGGCATTTGCACATCGGATCGAGTGTGCTTGCCATGTTTCTGGGAAATCACCAAACAGATTCAGCTTTGGCGAAGCCATGGTTAGTGTGATCAAACGCCTTGGATATATCAGTTACAATCATTATCGTGTATACCAGAGATATTTCACACACCCTTGGATTTATCTTATGTGAAGACACCAGCCATTAAAAAAATAGTATATTATCCCATAGGATCCATGTATGCTATATATGGTAACATTTACCATCAATATACCCCCAATGTTAGCATATATACCATACATGGTTCCTATGGGATATAAGTATAGTACTCCATCCTTTTTTCATCCTGCAGAAAACTTTTTTTGCACCAGGCGATCCCATTCCGGAGGCGCTCTTTTCGGCCTTTGGTTGGCGCTTTCAAATCGTCCCTCGGTCCATCGGTCACCACGAGCCACGAACCCGGCGATTGGTTGGGCTTTTTGAAACGGGCTTGGTGGATCTTGGTGGATTGCTGATTGAAGGATGGTAAGGATGGTGAAGGTATGTTTTTATGTTTTTTTCTCGGAAAGATATGGATTTCGATGTTTGCTGATCCTAGTGGCTGTTGGCTTTTGGCATAAGCCAACTTCTGCACCCCCACGGAAGATGGTGATGTTTCCACAGCAGTATCTGGTGGGATTTTCTCAGCCACTTTAGATCTACATCTTGACCACGATGTTGGTGACGGTCGGCCTCTTCAATTTGATCATGGCAGTATCTTGGCTGATCGCTGAATTTTTCTCCGGGAAGCCTTTTGGAGTGTCAACCACATGTTTTAACCACCAACAAGAAATGGTTACCCTCCAAAATGATCCAAAATGATCCAAAACCCGGAACTGTATTATATGGAAATGTAAGGACCCCCGGTTTCATCACTGATTTTGAGCAGCTTCAGCATCCAGGTCTTTATCGACAATGTCACCAAGTCGCAAAACCAGCGGAAGCAAAAAGAACTGGGAGAGAGTGCCGAAATGACGGAATGTGCACTGAAGACGCTTGGCCTAGTTCGGCATGTTCGGCCGAACGGAGGATCATTGCTCGAATTTTTAAGATGTTTTTGAATCATTTAAGCGTCACCAGACGGGATGTCGGAGATAATTGCCAGAAGCCATTTTGTAACATTTTTGGATAGGACAGCCGCCCAGGATGATGCTTGCGAAATTCATCAACGAGCCGCGGGCAGGCCAAGGGTTGGCCAGGGGGTTCGGTCCGTTGAGACTTGGTCCTTCAACTGCATAGAGCAGAGCTGGGGCAGCCGGGAACACAGTGAACGTAATTTGGAGTACCAAACATGGCAATCAAACATGGCAATGGAACATCAATCATTTAATTTATTAATTGAACACAATTAGACATGTATGGATGATTTTCCTATATGAAAAGCCAATTAAGACGAGGATTTTCTAAATTGCCATCGATCACCCTAGGATATGCCGCCCGTGACCTCCATTGACAGGTGACAACTCCAAGGACATGCTGAAGCGAATCAGCGACGACGCACTGAAGAAACTCGCCAGCCTCACCGATGCAGGACGTAGCCCCCTGGTTCGAAAAGCAGGGCCGGAGACAACTGGTGAAGCAACAAAATCAGCTGATGGGGATATACCGGTGATACATATACTGTATATATATATATATACATACATTCATATATATATATATATCTCTCTCTCTATCTGCATATCTATCTATCTATCTATCGATCTATCTATCGATCTATCGATCTATCGATCTATCGATCTATCGATCTATCGATCTATCTATCTATCTATCTATCTATCTATCTATCCATCTATCGATCTATCGATCTATCGATCTATCGATCTATCGATCTATCGATCTATCGATCTATCGATCTATCGATCTATCGATCTATCGATCTATCTATCTATCTATCTCTCTCTCTATCTCTCTGTCTGTCTATCTGTCTATCTGTCTATCTATCTATCTGTCTATCTATCTATCTATCTATCTATCTATGCAATACAAATAATATATATATATATATATTTTTATGATATGATTTAATCGGGATACTGTGGGATTTTATGGGGATATACTGGAATTTTCTGGGATAATTTCCAGGTGTTCTGGGGACAGGCCCCTTCAAAATATAGCGTTTTGATTTGGGTTGGGGCCATTCATTTTATAAGCAGTCCCTTGTAATTTTATAGTGGAAACCATTTTATTACTATAAAACGACTGGCAAGACCCCCCCCGGTGTATGTTCATAGGGATGCCAAAGATATGTTCTGGTTGGTGGTTTGACACATTTTTTCTACCTGGGACGGTGATCCTCCATTGACGGGTATATTTATGGAGGCTTGGAACTACCAACCAGACTAGCTACTTTTTCACGAAAGACGCTTGTTCTGTGTTTGGCAATCTTAGCGCACAATTAGAAAATCATTGATTGTATGGGGGTTTCAATAAATGGGGGCACCCCAAAATGGATGGTTTACAATGTCAACACCTAAATGCGAAAATGGATGATTGGGGGTACCCTCATTTCAGGAAACCTCCATATGTTATGTAAGTATTTTTCATTTTCTGGCAGCGCCGATTACAGACATAGATGAAGCAGAGACACATGAATCTGCTAGATAATGTTAGATAGCCAGCTAAATTGATTCGGAATCAGAGGAATAAAGCAGATGAGGACAAGGGAGAGCAGAATAGCTTGTAGATTTTAGAGAGAGAGATTTCATTACATTCTATTGCGCTACCACTCTTGAAAGAATAGGAATCAATATCATGCTTTTTTCTATATCACTTACTGTACTTTTTTGGAGGTATATGTTCATACTTTTCTATGTCATATCAGATGTACTCATATGTTCCGATTTCCTTCTTTAATTACCATTTGTTAATTTACCATAATAGCTATGGAAAGTCCACTTGGCTAAAAGCGGTAAATCATCGAACCATAAATGGGTTCAGTTTGCTTCCAGTTCGCAAACTGCAAGAAATTACCGGAGGGTAAACAGAAAATACATCCCATTAGATCCCATTGAATCTTATTATAGCAACCCCCAAAAAGATAGAACAGTAAAATACCACTGAAATAGTGATGCATTACTTTTATATCTTCGGGGGATGGCTGTAAATTATCGGAGGAGAAGTCTTTTCTTTAACGTCAAATCCGGATTAGTAAACCCCAACCGGCAGTTTTTTTTTTCTCCGGGAAGGGGTACCATGTATCAGATGAAATGACTATTGAATTTATTGCGGGAGTAGCTCCCTAAAATTCATAGACCAGGTTTAGGTCATTAATCTTGGGTCTGATTATTAGTTTATTTCCAAAAGAAACCATGGTCATAGAATAAATCATAGAATAACCGTATCTAGAATAACCAATTATCATAGAATTACCAGAGTTTATTGAATAAACCATGGTCATATTAATCTTAGAAACTTTTTTTTGGGGTCATCATTTCATGCCTCTGAGGTCGAAACCAGGCGGAGCAGCGACGCGTGGCCAACGAAGCTTTCAACTTGCTGGAGGACGGAGATGCTGATTTGAAACAGACAAAAATTGTGATTTACTGAGTTTTGATAAAAATTGAACTAAAAACCATGCTGATCTGATTGATTCAATGGGATCTAATGGGATTTAATCGGGAAAAATGATGAATGGTGATTTAAGCCGCCAAAAATGATGCCAACCAGGACAAAATGTAAAGAATGAGGTTTTGATCAACAAAAATGGCGATTTGACCAACAGAAATAGTGATTCGAAGAACCACAAAGTAGAATTAAACCAACACAAGAATGGCATCTAACCGGCCACATATTCATTTTGAATGAGAAAAGCTATGATTTTTCAGCAACTGCAATAGGATATTTTTCAGCCAGCAAACATGAGATCAACAAAATAACATGAATACTAAATACAATCGGTGGTGGCTGATGGTTATATCATGGGGTTATGGCAATGTAATTCATTGATTTACTCGGGGTCATTTGATGTATTTCTTTATTTCTTAGCTAAGTGCATTAACCTACAATCATGGGCATACATCCCACGCATGATGCCAATTCATTGATGATGTTTCACGGGGTAAAACTACATGATATAAATTGATATAAGATAAGTGATCCATGTGATACATGATACGTATATGATACCCTCTGGTAAACTAACATTTTACTATGGAAAATCACCATTTTTAATGGGTAAATCCACTATTTCTATGGCCATTTTCAATAGCTTTCTTAGTTTACCAGAGGGTATATGATTCCGAGCTCTAAATCGGGGATCTTATGTCGTCTATGCATGGCATCCTGGCCGCCACCGTTCCAGGAGTGTCATATCAATATCACCAGAGAGGTTTTTCAGGCCTGGTTGAAGGACCCTGAATTCGCATCTTGGCCGCTGTTAGATTGAAAAATCTGGAGGTTGCGGAGTGGTGTCATGCTTCAGTCATGATAAAAAGCTGTGCTTTTTGTATATATTTTTTTTTGTCGCCATGTTTTTTCCACCTGCTGAATTGGGAAAACGCGGCGGGTTTTTCTCAACGACTTGCCGCGCAGCACCGATGGCATTAAAGTCTTATTCTGTTCTTTTTGGCGATGGATCCGGTGAGCAAACGAAGCAGTTAGATTTGGCATGACAACCCAGTATTTGCAATTTGTTCTTTCGGATTTTCAGCAAGCAAATGATTATTCAGAAATTGAAAATCCGCTGGATAGTCCTGCAAGATCACTCGGGACCTTTGATTTTTTCATCGACATTCTACAAGACAATTTCGGGATATTTGATAGAAACATCCAAAACTATATATGACATCCAAGAACGAGTCTAGAATATATATATATATATGTACATGTATATGTGTGTAGAGTATGGTAATTTCAGTCTATATATGTTTCTATGCATCTGGCTGTCATGAATTATTTCTATTTACCCCATGCCCACATCTATATATCTATGTAATGACATATGTGTGTATATATATATATATACTGTATATATATATATATGTCTTTTATGACTATCTATCCATTGTATCCCTATGCCCATGCAGTACGGTACATAGAACAGGTAGGATGCAAAATACTCTGACATCCAGAAAGCCACACATATATCTTGCATCCACTATTCTCAACTATAACCACCTATGCACATAAAGTATATTAATGATATGTGAAAAGTGGCAGATCCCAATACCAACATCTAATTTTCCAGAATCCCACCTACTTCTTGTAAAGGTTGGGATCTTGTATTGTAAGAATAGCTGTACCAAGTGATCATCATGCCCTTCTATAGTTATGAATGGATTCTCACCCAACTGTGTTATAGGGAAATCTCAAAAAAAGTACTTGGAAATCAGCGTTGGCTTTGCACTTTCATCATGATACATGATATCTTCTCCAATATCTTTCAGACTAATGTAAAGGTATATGATTTAGGATATCATACATCGATACATTAATCACATGTCATCATAGATTAATCTTCATTATCATGATATATCTCATATAATGATCATTGTACGTTAGATCATACTATTGATACATTATGATAACTACATTATACATTTATACATCATACATTGTACAATTTCATATTATTGTCACGTTATACAAATATCTATCAGATAGCTATAGTTTATATTTGATCTAAGATATCATACATTATGTAAGCACCTTTAAATATCTTCACCATCATCATATCATCCGCAAATCTCACCTATCAGGTCAAAGTGCTTGAAGAGGCTGAAGTTGACATCTCCAACAAGTGCCTGGACGGAGCCGAAATGACCGAAATAACGGGAAGAATTGCAGATTTTCCATGTGAAACATCCTCCTTGAAATTTCCCTCACAGAATGCGAGGCCTTGGGCCCGCTATAAATCTGATTTTATACTTTATACTTTGGCGTCGGGGATCTCCATTTTATAAAAGCAGACTTGTTTATGCACACCTAACATCACCCAAAGGTTTCTTATATGAGAACAAGATCGTACCAGTGTGAGGCACATCCATTTTGTAGAAACTTTGGAACACCATTTTGTAAATAGGTAATGGGATTTGATGAATGCAACAAGGGAGGTTGCTGGGCGCTTTTCATGGGCTTAACAGAGACAGCTCCACCAAAGCCCCAGATCGCCAGATCATTCACATCGAAGCCAGAGGAGTGGTATCGTGTGTTCGAACACGACTGATTGGGAGAGTTGAAAGCCCCAAAAAAGACGCTCCCAAAGTTGTCAACATTTAAAAAAAAAAGTTTGTTTGACCATCCTTTCCATTTGGAGCTACAAAATGGTAGGGCATTTCCATTGGCAGCAACAAAACGGTGGGACACAGAGAAAGTTAGACCATGTAGCCTTTTGAACAGGGACCATCCATTTCGTAGATGGATTTTTTTGTAGATTGACATTGACCAGCTGGCCATAGATTGCAATGGGTCACCCTATTTTTTTCTGATGTGGTTCAAACCGGAACACCATAAAGAGGAGCTGCTCGATTGGATGTCCTGCCGTGTGCAGAAAAAGCATCACGTTTTAGACCTTTTTGGGTCCCTTGTTTTTTTTTGACCACCACCCTGTTTTTTTGACACCCCCTGTTTTTCGACCACCCACCATCCACCCTGTTTTTTTGACCACCTGTTTTTTTAAAAAAACTAACCTAACCTTGTTTTTTTGACCCTCCACTTTGCTTTTTTTTTGACACCCTGACCTTGTTTTTTTTGACCCCCCCCACCTTATTTTTTTGATCCCCCACCTTGTTTTTGTTTCTTTGACCCCCCACCTTGCTTTTTTGACCCCCTGGATCTGCTTTCCGGACCCTCATTAAATTCCTTGGGATGGCTTTTTGTTTTTTTTCCGCGGCAGGTTTTGGATTTTTTTTGGTTCCAGGTTCTATGCTTTCCTGCTTCTTTGCTTTTCTGCTTGCTTTGCCTGCTTTTTGCTTTTCCTGCTTTTCTGCTTTTCCGCCTTTTGCTTTTGCTGCTTCTCTGCTTGTCTACTTCTCTGCTTTTCTGCTGCTCTGCTTGCTTTGCCTGCTTTTTGCTTTTCATGCTTCTCTGCTTTACCTGCTTCTTTTCTTTTCTGCTTCTCTGCCTTTGTGCTTCTGTGCTTTTTACTTCTACTACTACTATTCTACTTTTTCTTTTCTTCAGTCATGCGTTTTTGCTGCTCTACTTCCTGCTCCTCTGCTTCTTTGCTTCCTGTCTTTATTGCCTCTTTGTTTTTTTTCCTCTTTTCTTTTGCTTTATTCTCTCCTGTTTGTATCCTACATGAAACCCTAAAGACCCTAAAGAAACCCCAAAGAAACCCTAAAGAAACCTTAAATGAAGCCCTACAAAAAACCCTAAATGAAACCTCAAATGATAAAAAGAAAACCCAAATCAAACCCTAAATCAAGCCCTCAAGAAACCCTAAATGAAACCCTCAAGAATCCCTTAAACAAACCCTACAGAAACCCTAAAGAAACCCTAAATGAAACCACAAAGAAATTTTAATCCTAGAGAAACCTTAAATGAAACCCCAAAGAATCCGCAAATGAAACCCTAAAGAATCGCTAAATTAAATCCTGATTCTTTTGCTCTATTCTCTCCTGTTTGTATCCTAAATGAAACCTTAAAGACCCTAGGTAAAACTGAAAGAACACCCAAAGAATCCCTGATAAGAAACCCTACAAAAAGCTTCTGTGTGCACAATCTTCTGTGTGTAAAAGCCTCTGTGTGTAAAAGCTTCTGTGTGTAAAATCTTCTGTGTGTAAAAGTGTCTGTGTGTAAAAGCTTCTGTGTGTAAAGCCGTCAGTGTGTAAAAGATTCTGTTGTGTAAAATCTTCTGTGTGTAAAAGCCTCTGTGTGTAAAAGTGTCTGTGTGTCAAAGCGTTTGTGTGTAAAAGTGTCTGGGTGTAAAAGTGTCTGTGTGTAAAAGTGTCTGTGTGTAAAAGCGTCTGTGTAAAAGCGTCTGTGTGTAAAAGCTTCTGTCTGTAAAAGCTTCTGTGGGTAAAAGCTTTGTGTGTAAAAGCGTCTGTGTAAAAGCAACTGTGTGTAAAAGCGTCTGTGTGTAAAACTGTCTGTATGTAAAAGCGCCTGTGTGTAAAAGTGTCTGTGTGTAAAAGTGCCTTGTGTGTAAAAGTGTCTGTGTGTAAAAGCGTCTGTGTAAAAGCGTCTGTGTGTAAAAGCTTCTGTCTGTAAAAGCTTCTGTGGGTAAAAGCTTTGTGTGTAAAAGCGTCTGTGTAAAAGCAACTGTGTGTAAAAGCGTCTGTGTGTAAAACTGTCTGTATGTAAAAGCGCCTGTGTGTAAAAGTGTCTGTGTGTAAAAGTGCCTTGTGTGTAAAAGCGTCTGTGTGTAAAAGTGTTTGTGTGTAAAAGCGCCTGCCTGTAAAAGCTTCTCTGTGTAAGGGGTTCTCTGTGTAAAAGCTTGCTCTGTGTAAAAGCTTCTGTGTGTAAAAGTGTTTGCGATGCAAACTATTGTCGTGTACCTATGCTATATTGTCTTGATACTCCTCTTCTCGACTGCCTACAACACATCTTTAACATATTGTTTTGTAATATGGTGTCTCCATACTAACAAGAGAAGACCCTGCTCCTCTACGCTCTCGGGCCATCCGTCGTCTAGTTTGATATATTTCCCACAATTTTCTGCTTTCAGTCGGATTCTTGGGAATCCACAACTCTCACACCTGCTGAGGCGGAACAACATAAAATAAATTTTGAGCTCCAATTGGCGGAGCGGACAGCAGGGCCACTGGCATCAAGCCCTGTTTGGTCCCATTAACCCCAAGGAATATATCGCAACGATCAAATTCAGGTCTAACAAGTGGTACAAGGATGGAGCATTAGATATATGTATATATATATATATACGTAGACACATGTCACCCACACACACACACACATATATATATATATATAGACGCATGTCGCACACACACACATATATATTTACATATTAATATATATATACATACATATGTATATACATATATATATATGCACGTATCCTATGTATCATGATCAGTTATTAGTTGAACATATGGTATGAATCTAATCTCTGGTAGCCTTGATTTGCAACTTGTCCATGAGTTCGGCCTCAGGTTTGAGCTCTTCAATATCCTCGATGTGGTGCCTTTGCAACAAAGTGGGCCATCAACGGTTTATAGCTGGGAAAAGCCCTTTTTTAAATGGGTGATTTTCCAGCACACCACTGACTTGTCGGAATTGGATGGAGAGAACACCAGCCCTATTCAATTCAGATGCTGGCCTACCATATCAATTAGCGGAGTTGCTTTCTAATATACATGGCCAGAAACTCCACTTGTGGTCCAGTGGTTAGCTGTTGCGGTCACCAATGGAAATGCTTATGCCCACGCGCACACATATATCTAGATATAAATGATATAAGACGCATATCATCCCCCAAAAATGCGATACTCTTTTGGAAATTTAGTATTTTAGTATTGGATCTGAATCAGGGGGCAGCATTATGTGCATTTCATAATTGAAAAGCCGTATGGTAACCCAAAAAGATGGAACTGCATTTCCAGGATGGTATAGATTACTTTCGGCATTTTTAAAGGGGTGCTATAATTTTCTGGCTCTACTGACGTTGGGCGCCTTCAGGATTCTGGAGGGGAGCTGTCAGTTGAGGAACTCTTGCCACTCGGCTACAGGTGGATGGCTGGGTTTACATGGCTCAACGTGTAGCTGTGTAGCTAGAAGGCACCACATGGCACCACCTGAAAGGAATTCCCAAGATGCAAACCACGCGGAATTTTGGCTTTACAACTCACATTTTGATGATAGCGGTGGGATTGCATGAAATGACCAGCTGCAGGTCGTGTGTTGATTCAAGAGGAAGTAGGCCTGGTTGGTTTGGTATTTGTTCGAGACATCCCACAGCATTTCCGAGCGTCGCCGTCGTTGGTATCCAAACTTTTTGTATTTTCTTTGCAGATATGGATGGTAGTCCGTTATAATTTGTAATCCAACGTGGACATGTCGTGATCCTTCTAATGTTGGGAATAGGTGTTCTTGCTCCCACCTGGATTTTAACAAAAGTGTAACTCCTCTCCTCGCCTCCTCTCTTCTCGTCTACTTCTGTGCCAGCTCGTCGCCGGATCTCATACCGCGAGTTCCAGACGCTGTGGGCTGGGCTTGGACCCGAACAGAGGGAATGCCAGAAGAGAATGTCAGAATTCTATGCCAGATAGAATATCAGAATAGATGCCAGATAAAATGTCGGAATAGATGCCAGAAAGAATGTCAGAATAGATGCCAGCAAGAATGTCCCAATAGATGCCAGAAAGAATGTCAGAATAGATGCCAGAAAGAATGTCAGAACAGATGCCAGAAAGAATGTCAGAATAGATGCTAGATAGAATATCAGAATAGATGCCAGATAAAATGTCAGAATAGATGCCAGAAAGAATGTCAGAATAGATGCCAGATAGCATGCCAGAATAAATGCCAGAATAGATGCCAGAAAGAATGTCCCAATAGATGCCAGAAAGAATGTCAGAACAGATGCCAGAAAGAATGTCAGAATAGATGCTAGATAGAATATCAGAATAGATGCCAGATAAAATGTCAGAATAGATGCCAGAAAGAATGTCAGAATAGATGCCAGATAGCATGCCAGAATAAATGCCAGAATAGATGCCAGAAAGAATGTCCCAATAGATGCCAGAAAGAATGTCCCAATAGATGCCAGAAAGAATGTCAGAATAGATGCCAGAAAGAATTTCAGAATGAATGCCAGACAGAATGCCGGAATAGATGCCAGATAATGCCAGATAGAATGTCAGAATATATATATGCCATAAATACTTCCAGATGGTATGTCAGAAACCATGCCAGAATAGTGTGAAATGGTCGGGATCACTGGAAGAAAGTCATTTTTAAGCAGGCTGACTGAGCAGCGAGGGGGCTGCACCCAGAGAAAATGATAAACAACATGCCATTAAAATGTTCCCCCTCCAATTCAGCCATCCGCAGGTTCTGCCCAATTTTGAGGGCTGGTTGATTCAACATGTTATGTATACTTCTTAATTAATATCAAAAAATTGTATGAACATGCAAATCTTTTGACACCCAATTTGTTCAATTCATATCAATAAACATCAAACACATATATCCAAATGTGGACCGGTTCATAGCCAATTTCTGTGATCAATATCGCAATCCAAACAATTCAGGCCAACATCTAAATTTGCAATGTGGTGTATATGACTCAACATCCCTTTCAAGGGTTCATATCATTAGATGTAATTGTTCACATCCCAAACTTCAATCATTCACATTGTATTTAAAGTTCTTACCTCTCCATACATTTAGAGGTGACCTCCTGAACTGCCAATTTGTTCGCGAAAAGTGGTCCCCTGAACTCCCAGGAACGGCCTGATGGGTCTACGTGGAGACGTTTCGAAAGGTGATGTGGTCTCCATCTTGCTGCGGGTTCGAGATCTCCTGCAACGCGCAGCTTGGATCGGAGGGGAAAGGAGATGGGCTGGAACTTGGAACGAAAGAGTGGGGATTTGAGCAACGACTGAGATTCAACTGATTTATAAGCAACAAACATATCAAAAATGTGGGTAGCAACAACATTTTGAGATTCAACTGTTCTATAGATTTAGAGCTCAAGAATTAAGGGTTGAACCAACAAAAATCAGGATCTTTCCCACTAAAGCATTGAGATTTAAGCAGCAACAAAGGTGATACAACACGATACAATATTTATATACTTTCCTTATATATAATATTCAATGAACAAATAAATGGGAAATTGTTCACTAGCTGACTAGCTATGTTGGGTTTACTGTTGGCCTTAGAGGTAGCTGTGGATGTTCGTCTTGATCGGATCAAACCGGGATGTTTGGGACGAACATTTGTGGGCATGGGATAGCCGGGATAGCCCCAGGTGCTACGCAGTTGAAGATAAACTGGAATGTTTCATGTGTATATATACATATATATTTATAATATCATATATATATATAATATCATATATATATATATAATATCATATATATATAATATGCATTTTAAATTACCTTAACCCATAACAAATTCTAATGTATTTATGCATGTCATTCCATGTGAACCTTCCCTGGTAAGTCTGAAACTTGCATTAAAAAAGGATGGTCCAAAATGAAATCTTGGCGAATTTTGGATTTCAGCGGAAATTATGTATGCACGACTGGTTGAACACTATAGCAACTATAGGATGTTCATGAATTTTGCTACTTTAAACATCTTTAAACCAGGATTAATGATATTAAATGATTAAAGAACATTAAAAGTGTGGATGATCGGTTTTCCAGCCACCGGCTCGCCCAAGGTTGAAAAGATGGAAACACGAATGAGAAGGCGATCGTCTGCCTCCAAGGCGAGCAGATAAAGAGGATGCACGCAATGATTCCAAGTTTTTTCGGTTGAACATGACCGGAAAAGTCGTGGTTTTCCTGGGCCAAACGTTGGCCACCACTGAACCCATGTTCTTAGGCAGATGAGCACCGCTGAAACTTTACACCTGGAGGAGGTGTCAGCTGGACCAGGCAGCATTTCAGACTGGTGAAACAGTTACATTTCAACTTGTGACATCACCTGGCATATCATATCTTGGCTGTCATCTGTCAGCTGGGGGCTGCAACCTTGACAGCTAATCGAGTGCTTCCAAACAGACCAACAAAAATCGGGGGGAGGCCCCCCATATGAGGGATGGGTTCAGCTTTTGTTGGACTCCAATGACACTGTACATCGATGTACATCGAATATAATGTAAGTTGTTATAAGTTGTTGCACGTGTGGATCAACATTTCAGAACCAGGGCTGAGTATCGCGCCCAGGACGCCGAAAGCTGCAAAAAACAACTGGAAAGAGCAGTTGGACAAAAAAGGGTCCTGAGAGGGAATTCGTTGGGAATTTCTACCAAACTCGAAAATCAGACGCGAAAATCAAGGGACAAACACATTGACACTGTTTTGACCTTGCCAGAATGCAGTAGTATCTTACCAGCCAGCGGCTCACCCACAGTACCATTGGAATCCGAAGGACATGTCTGCGAATTCGTTGCCGGGCCAGGAGTGTTGTTGTCCTGGGCCCTGGACTCGAAATTCAAGGCATTTTTTTGAGGGCTGAGCATGACGAACAGTAGAGGCTACAGTGGTGGTTTTGGTTTGCTGCCCAGTGCTTTACCAAAAATGCCTTGCGGCATCCTTATTTTGAAGCCTCACTGCAGAACTCGAATGAGAGTGAGGATGTTTGCCCCTAGGGTTGCCTCTGCCAACTGGGCGGTGATTTCCTCACTTTGAGATCTTCTATTTCTAATGGCTTATCATTGATTTCTCAATGTTTATCACTGTTTATCCGTCTTTTTCCAAGTTTTCAATCGCAAAACTTGGGGTTTTCAACGGCAAAACATGCATTATCCCAGACATCCTGCCGCACCCCGGGCAATCGCCAACCGCCCCCCGGCCATTTTTCACGACAGCGCCGCCCGTCGGCCAAGCCGCTGGGCTGGAACGGTCGGTCGAAGAGAGTAACACGAGCGTGGCAAAGAGGGCCAAGCGGAAAGACATCCAGTATATTATACTCAGTATGTAATGGATTTTATATGATTATGTCCTATCATATGTATATATATATATCCAGCAGGTGTCCTTATAATGTCCTTATATAGTGTATGATATTCTAGACATATTCTGTATAACTGGTGCAGTCTTCTACTTGTATAATCTGGAGTATATATGTTGACGCACTCAATTGCAGGCATTCGCGACGTGTCAATCTGTGGCGACGCAGTCAAATTCTGCAAATACGGATAGCGATTATAGTACCTGATGGTGGCTGTACAGATTGGGATTCTATTCTGTTTATTCTTGAGATGTTCAATCGGGCACAAGGGTTTTCGCACTTCAGATTCTTGATAACTACTTGCCATTGCCTACTTGAGGAGTCATCACCGTGGCGACATTCTTGGAGGAGGAATCCCTCCGCATTGAAAACACATATGAGATTAGGCGAGCATGTATTTTTCTCCATGAAATCTGGGTAAATTATAACGACCTCACTGCGACCTCACTGGAATCATGTTTAGTAAGAGGAATCATCCCAAAATGGCCTTATTTCAGGTTAGTGAAATACTATAATTTACCCAGATGAAATAGCACAACTATGGTTTTTAAGCATTTCATAGCCCTCACAACTGCGTCTATTTCTGTTTTTCGAATTGCAATGATCGCTTTGTTCTTCAACCTATTTTGATACTGCGAATCCCTGCTGAAGTGTTTTGAATGGGGTTGCTTTACCTCCTCTGCTTGATCCCCAATGTCACTTCACGAATGACTGATTCATCATCCGATCACCATCCAACATTTGGCTCAAGCTGCAGATTCCTCTGAGATGGGTTGACAGTCTGCACGTGCAGTGCATCAAACACAGCTGCAATGATGCGTCCCTACTCCCAAATGGGGCCTACGAGCATTTTTCCGGGACTTCCTACCTGGGAGGAAAGTGAACCCCCCCAAGTAACTTGACTTACTGCTGTTCTTAGATGTGGATGTATTTGAGTTGTTATGCTCCATGCTTTACTTGAGTTTGTCTAAAAATGTTCTATCCTGTGCTCGCGTACTTTCCTCAAAATTTCCCATGTTGAGCAACATATTTTTTCTACACCCTTGGATTTTTTCTACACCGTAATTGTGGAGAAAGCCATGTGCTCACGTCACATTTTAGCCAATATCTAATGAATCTAATAGCTAGAATGGACCATTCACTGGTGATACAGCTAATACTGCGGCGAGGCTTTCGCTTTATCGTGCTTTGCCATGGGAAACGCCTCGCCCACAGGAGGCGCAGAATGATTGAAGAGTAGCGCCCCAAAAAGTTGCCAGAAATTCAACAGAAAACTAGCTGCAAAAAAAGAACCACACGATTTGGAATCAGTTTGGAAAGTTCATGATTGTTCATATCTTGAAAAGGAATTTTATTCATTTTTATTCAATCTAACAGCTTGCATTGCAAGTCTAAGACCTTCCATCTCCCTAGAAAAAGATGCGTTAACAAAGTTCATCCCGGAGGCGTGTTGCACCAATATCGAGGCGGTGGGGTTGCACAGCTTCGGATCCTAAGCGTGAAGCATCTATCAAGGATGAAGGGGGGAATGTAGGGAGGCCGAGCACCACAATTGATGATGAAAATCTTGGGGAAACAATGACAGATGGTCCGAGACTCATTTAAGCCGACTTTTTTACTCATTATAAGCCGACATTTTGTATGTTGACTTCAGAGTTAACTCCATGGGGTACAGACCTTTAGGTTAACACTTGGGGACACTTGGGGTGGGTTTAGGGGACACTTGGGGACACTTGGGGTGGGTTTAGGGGACACTTGGGGTGGGCTTAGGGAACCAACTCCAAGGGATACAGCCCTTTAGGTTAACACTTGGGGACACTTGGGGACACTTGGGGTGGGTTTAGGGGACACTTGGGGACACTTGGGGTGGGCTTAGGGAACCAACTCCAAGGGATACAACCCTTTAGGTTAACACTTGGGGACACTTGGGGTGGGTTTAGGGGACACTTGGGGACACTTGGGGACTCTTGTCACATCTTCTTCAAGTCCCTTGAATGATGTTCTTGCTATGTTGTTGCAACATCTTCGTCAAGTAGCTTGCAATACATTCCTGATACGTTGCAACATCTTCCTACTTGTAAGTAAATTGCACGACCTTCCTGATACATGTGTCACCTCGTCTTGCAGTAACTTGCCAGATGTTCCTGATACGTTGTAGCATCCTCTTCGAGTGACTTGCAACACGTTCCTGGTGCATTGTGACATCTTCTGCGCGGCCCTTCCACCATGTTCCATGCATGACGTTCTCACATCTTCTTCAAGTCCCTTGAATGATGTTCTTGCTATTTTGCAACATCTTCGTCAAGTAGCTTGCAATACATTCCTGATACGTTGCAACATCTTCCTACTTGTAAGTAAATTGCACGACCTTCCTGATACATGTGTCACCTCGTCTTACAGTAACTTGCCAGATGTTCCTGATACGTTGTAGCATCTTCTTCGAGTGACTTGCAGCACGTTCCTGATACATTGCGACATCTTCTGCGCGGCCCTTCCGACATGTTCCATGCATGACGTTGTCACATCTTCTTCAAGTCCCTTGAATGATGTTCTTGCTATGTTGCAACATCTTCGTCAAGTATCGTCAAGTAGCTTGCAATACATTCCTGATACGTTGCAACATCTTCCTACTTGTAAGTAAATTGCACGACCTTCCTGATACATGTGTCACCTCGTCTTATACAGTAATTTGCCAGATGTTCCTGATACGTTGTAGCATCTTCTTCAAATGACTTGCAACACGTTCCTGATGCATTGTGACATCTTCTGCGCGACACTTCCGACATGTTCCATGCATGACGTTCTCACATCTTCTTCAAGTCCCTTGAATGATGTTCTTGCTATGTTGTTGCAACATCTTCGTCAAGTAGCTTGCAATACATTCCTGATACGTTGCAACATCTTCCTACTTGTAAGTAAATTGCACGACCTTCCTGATACATTGTCACCTCGTCTTACAGTAACTTGCCAGATGTTCCTGATACGTTGTAGCATCTTCTTCGAGTGACTTGCAGCACGTTCCTGATACATTGCGACATCTTCTGCGCGACACTTCCGACATGTTCCACGCATGACGTTGTCACATCTTCTTCAAGTCCCTTGAATGATGTTCTTGCTATGTTGCAACATCTTCGTCAAGTATCGTCAAGTAGCTTGCAATACATTCCTGATACGTTGCAACATCTATCTTCCTACTTGTAAGTAAATTGCACGACCTTCCTGATACATGTGTCACCTCGTCTTACAGTAACTTGCCAGACGGTACTGATACGTTGAAGCAACTTCTTCAAGTGAGTTCAAACATGTTCCTGATACATTGCGACATATTCCTGATATGTTGAAACATCTTCTGAAAAGTGACATGCAATTCATATGATCGAATCAAATTGTCCTGCTCATCATCTCTGTCACACCTGTTGCAGTCATATTCAAAGACTTCTATGTCACTTTCTCTTGGTGCTGCCATCATATTTCACAAACGTAGGCGTAAGCGAGTAAAAACGTAGGCTTAAGCGAGGTACTGACCATGACAGATGATGATATCTCATTGAACAAAAATATCTTCAAACAACTCAATGAGATTCCTGGCCCCCAGATTCTGAGAAGAATCCCTGAACAGCAACACTTGGTACCAAACTTGAGAAGCACCCGAAATCGATCGAAAGCGTCCTGAAACTGGAGACAGTTACGAACTGTGCCGAGGTTGGTTGCTATGTTTGGACGAGACTCAGAGAGTCCGGGGCTTGGTACTGGGATTCTGATGATTCTGGCCATATGCGCCCGCCATTTTATTCGTTAAAGGCTTGACCCCTCTTGACACTCCCTGGATCTCCCCGGCAATGCTGACCTGGGCTGCCTGTGACCGCTGATGTTGAATGATTTTGGTCCTGTGCACAAACAGGGGTACCCAAAAAAAAGTGCTTTGAAAATATGTGAAATAAATAACAATTTGAGAGAATAATTAGAAATTTTGTGAAATATGAAAATATTAGACTTTAGCTGGTCCAGATATTTCATGATATTTCCATATGATTTCATTCTATGGGGTCCCGTCCCGACATCTCCGTAAATCATACCTGGATCTTCCAGGTGTCACCTTTTTTGGTCAACATGGTAGTTGTCAAGAATTTTCTGCATCAAATTCTAATTTGGACAACTTCAATCAAACTGGTCAACTTCACCCACCGATGAGCTCCATTGTTTTTTTCCTCAGCGGTTTCCTGTCTCACCAGAATGGTTCAAGTTCCAAGCGACTGCCAAACCTGGCCTCAACCAGAAAAAGTTCAGAGCTCAGACCGTTTGCGCTTTTTGCTCCAAAGAGTTTTCATCTTGATGCAGACACGGTCTAAGACTCTGTTGTTCACGGTTCTCGCCGACACTCTTCTCGATAATCTAGCTACGTGTCCCACCATGTCTTCATTCGGCTCACATGAAAACGCTAGAACGTTCAGAATCCGAGGGCTTTGAATTTCCAGCTGTCTAGAAATTTCACGCGCTATATGTCTCATCGCGTGTAGCTTTGGTTTCAGTGAGTATGCTACTACGTTCAACTTTTTGACCTCTTGGGCAAGCAACTTGTAACCTTTCAACATCACATTCAAATGGTGGAGAACTCGTCTCCCGCAAATCCTGGGCAGCCAAAGGCCATGCGAGTAGAGCACATCAAAGAATTGTTCAGTGGACTCTAAGGTTTCGCGCAAAATTGCGAAGTATCGAACATGCTCATGTTGCACATCACCGGACTGCATCAGCAACTTCACAATAAACAATAGCCACGATGTCAACAATGTCACATCTGAGCCTTTACAATTGGCCCAGGGAAACGACCGCTGGTTGCTAGCATTGAACAATGCCTGACTGAAATAATGCACAGCAGGGGTTTTCCCGTTTGCCATACAGTGCAAACGGAACGATGAAAAACATCTTTCCAACCTGTCCGGCAAGTTGACAGCATCTCCTGGAGAATCAAAGTAGCCGGCCAAAGCTAGGAATATCAGTGAAGAACCCACTAGGTCACGCCCTACACCAAGTTTCCAACAATGAAATGTATCCAGACGGAAGATACTTTCTTCCGCCCCTGGCTCAAATGGGATTTGTGTCACAGCTGGTGGCTCACTCTCCGGCCAAGGTTTGTTTGTATGGATGGTGGCTTCCCAGGCAGCTCCTTCTGCCAGGTCCTCAAACGGAATGTCTGGGGCACCCGCCATGCAAAGGGCACAGATGGGGTGATTCTCCTTCACACCTACGTTATAATAGGACCTGCTCAGATTGCCGATTTGGTAATGGAACTTCATGTCACCCTTGATTCCCAGAACGGCTGCGTAAAAGGTGTCTGGGCCCACTTCAATTCCTCGATTGTGTAGAAGCTCCAAATCTTTGGATACCAAATCAAAAGTTGCGTGAACTAGATCAGGGTTCGACTTGTAGATCTGAGACTTCATTCCAAACAACATGAATTTGGACAGAAAGCAATTTCCACTCAGGTTGACGTACTGTTTCGAAGCAATGTCCAGTAATTGTTCAGATGGCCAACCGTGTTGACAGCAATCGTCTAACCCTTCATAGCGTTGAAGAGCAGGATCTGCAGAACAGGAGCATGGCCTGCATTTGGTAGGAGTTGAGCCCAGCATGCATTCAATTGTGGCAATCATGTAGTTGCCTTTCTTAAGATACCTCCCTTCGTCTCCATGTAAAAGAATTGGAAGTGTCTTGTTCAACCTTTCCCGCGATGAGGGTGATTGGAAAACCACATGTCCAGGCTGTATATATTCAAAGCATTTCCAGAAAGAATTCAATTCTTGTTCCAGATTGCCATGGGGAAAGAGCAAAGATTTGTACTTCTTCAGGATAATGCGCAACCACGAGCTAGGTTTCACGATTGGTGTGTCAATGAATGACCCATCTTCAACCTGAAAGGGCATAGAATCCCTTCGCACTTCAATGGCCATGCCAGCTCGAGTCAGCATTCGCGTAACATCCCTATTGTCATTTTTTTTGCAGTCTGAGGCCGCTTGGCCCTTTGATGCTTTGAAAGCAGTGACCGAGTCTTTGACGGATGAGGCGGGGGCCTCGGCCAGTCAATATGCCGGGGTGAAATGCCAGGGTAGCCCCCATGCTTCTAAGATCTAGGCTCCATTTCCAAATTGCTCGGCCCAGTGGTTCATCATGGGGTCGCTGTTTGAAGTCTGTGGCTCATCACCTGGCTGATGAAAAAGGTAGGGTTTAGCATTTGTCCACTCTTGTTTATGCAGCCACCCCAAAACAAAAAAGCTGATGTTGGCAATGCCATACAATGCCCTTTTTTCACCGTAGAGCTTTCAGAGCTAGGTGGTCCCAGGTTTGATCACATTGATCGCTCACGACAAAAGTTTAGCACCTTGCATGGTGCTTGACATGGGGCCCCAACCCCTATGTTCAAACTAAGGAGGCCATTCAAGCCTTCGCTTTGGACTTGGCAGTGGCTTTCAGCACAGCCTTTGCCTTCGGAACCTGCTTGGGTGCCGGTTTCGGTTTGGCCTTTGGCCTTTGGTCCGGGGCATTGGATTCACGCTTTTTCTGGCGTGCTCGCTCATAGTCATTCATCATGGACCTTATGTGCATAAATTCAAAAAATAGCTGATGTTTTTCTGCTGAAATCTAGTGGGGTGTGACATAAACAAGTGGTGCTAAACAGTGAACAAAAGTTGTTTGTAAGCACTTGGCTTCACCCGTGGCTCCAGCAAGATGCTGTCCACAGCCCTTAGTGTTGTGAGCAACCAACCATTACCCATGCTCAGCTAATGACATTTCTGAGGATCCATCAACTTGCGAGCTGCCAGGATGACCTGCTTCATCTCACTTTCATTCCTGGGATCTGTAGGAAACCGCTATTTCGGTGAAGTATAAGAAATAGACTTTTGAAATGCGTTCCCCAAAGGGCTGCCTAGCAGCTGTTCAGTTGCCCCCTCAAGGAGACAAGAACTGTAGAGTTCGTTCAGCGCCTCCGATTTCTTGAACAGATCGTCTTTAATAAGCCCAATCTTCTCCATCATCCTTGTGTGGTAGCTGGCTCTCATTGCATTATATGTGATTTGGTCAGTATTGTTGGGAAAGACATAACCGACACGACAAACCATGAGATATCACCATTTCCTTTATGCACACCAAACAAAGTATTAGATCTTTTCCTTTAGGCCCCCCTTATTGGAAGTATACGGGGGATGGGGACAATGTATAGATCTATTTTGTGTATAGGTTTTATTTTTTATATCATATACCTCATTACTACGACTTGGGTGTGACCCGAAAGACGCAAGTATGCAGTATGCTCATATTGATCAAAAACAACATGGCTTGGCAAAGTGTCTTTGTCATAAGACTAGTTCGTTCGGACGCAGGGATGGCCTGAATCTTGTTCCATGCCTCATCGAGTTTGTTCAAGCGCTTCTGGATATTACCCCCAACCTTCGTTGCCAAAGACATTGCAGAAGCTTTCGCCTCCACATCTGGGAAGCCTGTTTGGCGCAAAGCTTTCAGCACATCCTGATTGACTGGGTTGGTCTGGGGTAGGGATTCCACATCGGACAGCTCAGCACCTTAGACGAAACAAAGAACAGAATGGCTTGGTCTTGGTTTCTGGAAGTGCTATTAGCAATCCTTTCCCCGCAATATTCAATACCTCCCAAACATGGGTTGAACTTAATCGTTGTGGGAATTGGGGAACCAAATTATGGAGGTATTGAATATTGGGGGAGGTGGATATTTAACCGCTGGGCTTTCTCTTCTGGATTTTTTTAAAAAAACATCCAGACTTATGAACCCAGAGTTTTAAGGAAACCATGTAAACCCCAAACCATAAGCCCAAGTACCCTTCAAAGCAACTGGCAACGGCAAAGCCGTATTGAGGCGAGGGAGATCATCCTTGCTCTCGGCCTCTTCCTCGAACTCGATTTCCTTCTTGAGGAGATTCCGGCGAATGGACCTCCAATGGGCACTGAATGCTACATAAGTAGAGGGGTTTTAAACAGAAAGCTTTGCAGAGACATTGAATAAATATATCATGTGCAGTAATGGAAACTTGCTAAGATATCCCGCCTCTCATTCCCTTTGACGGCCACTTCCACCCAGTACATCAGCCCTCCGCCATACTTGGAGTTCCTGGGGAGTAAATTGTTTTTGATTGAGACATTAAGGGAAAAGCACCAAGATATTCAACGAAAGTGGAAATGGGTCCTGGTCAAGGAAGGATCTTGTTTGCAGTACTCCTTGATCCCATCGATTTTGGACCTTGCAGTGTAGAAGATCACGCATGGACCACTGGATGCATGGGGTATTGCTGAGATAATGTTAGTGTTTACCCATTCCATTGGAACTTGTAGTCGTAAACACTGACCAATACTTACCAGCCCCAAACCATTGAAGCAAAGCCACTGTGAATAACTCAAACCCTCCATATCCTCAACAGTTAAGAATTGGTGTTCGACATCCATAATAGACTCGTCCAACTCTTCTGTGATCCGACGGCACTTCCTCACGAAGCTGTCCTGAGTGAAGAAGCGATTGAAGTGTGTGGGTGGAATAAGATGAAACAAACCAAGTTACTAGGATATTGTCAGTTGGGGTTTGGAACAGAATAAAAACAAATGAAATATCAAACCAGGATCTGTGCAGTAGTCACATTTCTCGAACAACAACTCAACCTCCGTTCTGGTTTTTAGATCTTTCCATTTCTCAACAAACTCCTTGGGAACAATGTAACTGCCATCTGCACGGGGAGTGAACACCCTTTTCATACGTTTGTAGATAGCACCCTCTGACAGCTCTTGCCCTGGCTTTTTGGCGGGGGAAGGGACCTGCTCAAAGTCCAAGGTCTTAGGGCGTGGTGGAGTCAAATCCTCACCCCCACCAGCCCCGTTCTCACCCCCTGGGGTTGGAGATTGCACGGCCGTCTCCTGATAGGGCGTAGCGACTGGAGTATAGGGTGGGTTCTGCGCATCCTCAAAGACTTCCTGACAGTGAGAACCAGAAAGCTGATCTTTGATTTTCAACACTAAAGGTGGGCACCTGATAAATGACCAGTCTGGAAAGAAACAACCGAGTCCCAAATCTTTGTACTAGTGGGGAACCCAAAATAATAAGCAAATAAGTTGATCATAATCAAGATTCCTGCATTGGTGTAGGCGAATCTTCCACATCAAAAACAGGTTGGCCACTCTCTTTGGGTTCACCCACCAACTTGGACTCCCCATCCCCACTGACGGTGGCAGGAGCCACAGGAGGTTCAGGACGAGGCTGAACTGAAGTGCCATGAGGCGGCTGGTCTGGGAGAGGCTGTGAATAAGGCTTCAGATTCTGACCGTTTTCTTCGGCCTTCAGGGGCGTAGATCCATTGTAGTAGAATCTTGTTCCAAAAGATTCGGGATTATAATAAAGAAAATGGTGGTTCACCTCTGCCAATAAAATAGGATATGATCCCATTGGTAATGGTAAGTGACTTAAGTACTTAGGATAGCCCAGTTACAACTGGGGATAATGTCTTTATGGGGTGAATCACCAACCAATGAGCTGGATATCCCACGAACTCCTTTGGCTTGCGTTTTCTGAAAAAAAAATCAAATACCCATTAACTTGGGGAACCAACAAATCACAGCTTATAAAACCCAACTTTTTATGAAAGGTTTTCAGGCTCCAGTTTTGGACCTTGCGATGTCTTGGAACCGTTTGGGGATTGATTTTGGGACGGTGTGTGGCTCCATTACATTTTGGCGGCATCCAAAAACAATGCATGTGGGGGACCCCACTCTCAATTAGCATATTGTCAACATCCTACCCAAACAAAAACCAAGCGGGGTTTGGATGATTTTTGTGGATTGGAACTCCCATCCCATATTAGAAGGGGCCTGCTGGATACAATGGTACACAATCTAACACTCCTGGAGCCTTATTGGGATGTATACATGTATTGACTATAGAACAAGTTAATACCAGTTATGTATATGTGGTATTATGGGGAAGCACTGGAATCATTGTTGGAATTTTTTGGGCCTCAAGGATCCTCAGCTCTGCTTCCATTGCCTGGACATCTGGCTCGTTGCAGGCATCCATCGCTAAGCTCATGGCACCAGTGAGGTGCAAACCCCGTTGCAAGGTTTGGCACGACCAAGCTCGGCTTGGAAGGGGTTCCATACCAGTCAGCTTTCAGCACACTACCACTGAAAAGCCAACAATGCAAATTGTCTAGTATTCATGTTGGTTGAAAATTTCAAGCTTAACAAAACCTGAATTTTGAGCTCTTTGGGTTTGGAACTTCATTCCCAAAAAATCACCAAAATCCTGATCCGGGTTTCTCCGCCAACTTCCCGCCTGTTTCCGCCAACTTCCCGCCTGTTTCCGCCCACTTTTTTCGAGCTGAATTTTGGGATTTCCCTCATCATGTCTAAACTAACAGTGTAATTAGAGTCGGTGTCGGGTAGCCAGTGTTTAAAACACTGCCGGCCGTGTCACATGCCAAATTGGATCAAATTTGAGTAGGCAAAAGGGGCCGGTACTCAGGTGGGATTTCTAAAGTTTTACAACCCCTCAAATATCGGTAAACACTCTTCAGAGCTGCATCCTCCTCCCACCAATCGTCAAAAGTCATCTCCTGGAAGATTTCAATGAATGGCCGGCTGGTGTCGACCTGGGCAGTGCAAGGGAATGTGGAGGCTGCAGGCGTTACTGTTGGTTAAAACATGTCAAAACATTTGCTTTTTGCTTATCCCAGATACTGAGGGAAAGTCTGGTTCAGGAATTGCACCAGTTGCTCGGAACATAGTTGAAAGGGATCGAACTAGTTGCCCAGCAAAGCGTACAGGGTATATCCTGAGACTCTTTGACTCGATTGAAAAATGATGTTACTGGACTAGATACAAATCCCCAGCCGATATATTTTTAGGGTGACAAGGGGTCCAAAGTTTAATTTGCTTTTTATTCTAACAGGTATCTGTGTAGATTTAAGGGAAGAACTCCCTTTGTAGGCCGCATGCCCCTTTCGGTTTGTATACTTGACAGCTGTTACTGTCTTCTTCCCCTTGGGTGGCTTCTTGACGCCAGCGCCATTGCCCAAGCCGAAGGTGCCCACTACCTTTGAAGTCGACCAAAGAATTGTCCTCTTCATGCAGCTGTGGCCAAAATAGGCCATCCAAAAACTTTGGCGGTAGACCTTTGGGCGTGGTGGATTAGAAGATAGAAATTTGACTGGCTTTAAAATAATTCCTGACTATATTTTCCCTTATGGCCTATGACCCAAGATTAGAAGGTACCAAGCATAGACTGAGCTTCTTTCAAGCCGACGCTTTCTAGGGCACCCAGAAACCATTGGAACTTGTCGTGCATCCAAATCAGACTGGAACCCGGGTTTTCCAGCACCATGTGCCCCCCCAGTGAGATTGTGATCAAGGCTATCAACATGCACCTGCCAGGGCCGGACGCCCCCAAGAAAAAGGTTATGGGGAAGTTGCCATCAAGGTGAACACTTGTTAACTTGTTTTCCAAACCCAGCCTTGCCACCAAACAATTGGCAAGTGCCACTGAAGGATACTCCGGATGACCATGTGGGTTCAAATAATCTCGATAACTTGTCCCCTTATTGATAGCCACCCAGGAAGAGCAGCAAATACCCCAGAAACACACATGGGAATTGAATTGGCCTTTGAGTGCCAATACCACAGCTAACCTCAGATCATTTGAAGTTCCACCATACAAAATCCAACCACAAGCTCCAACACACAACTGACTAAGATTTCACCCCTCAAAATGTGTTCATTTGTGGGACCAAGAAACGTGAAGCCACCATCCGAACTGAGATCCATGCAGCCTCCCTTAAGAGGTTTCTTAGGGTTTTTGTGGTGGGCTTCTTTCACTTCAGGGTCGTACAAGACATCGTAGCAGCATGCTGAGTATCCACGGTTATGGGCTAAGCGACCAATCCTTCCAACACCACTGAAGAATTCAAGACATTGGTATTCAGGCTGCCCCATATCCATGCTCGTAAAGTTCAGCCAAGTTGTCATCAGCACTATCATCACAAAGGCCTTATGTCAGGAAAATGTAACAAAACATTGTTGCCATGGCATGACATGTGACAGCATATACAACCAACAATGCATGTTGCCGTCGAGATACTTTCGGGGCACCAAGTTTCACCAGCCGTCTTAGAACCAGATCCATCAGTTTAGACGTCATGGCGCAGCCAAAAATCAGTACCGGCTTCTAATCTGAGCAAGAATGCTACCATACTATAGATAATGCCTTGAACACCCCAAAAGAGATTCAAAATCATCAGTCGCCCCGAGTGCCCCAGCACGACCCAAACCAGCCAGGTTTGCACAAAAGGTGCCCAAAACGGGCGAAGGTCGCGAGGCCTTTCTTCAGGCGGGGCATCGCAGTACCTGGAGAGCAGAGGGAGGGGAACCTGGAGGATCGGTTTAGTTTCTTACGGGAGGCAATGTACTGTAAGCTCGGACTGCTGGCTTGTTTCTTTTTGACCAGCGCAGATCTCCATGTTAGATGGCCTACAGTGTCCTCGGCAGCACCGCCCCTCCCAGTGCCTTGCACTAGGTTGACCCAACTAAGCTGTGAGAGACACAGGGCATCCATTGATATGGCAAGGTTTCAAGCCACGCACTGAATCATTTTAACTTCTCTACGACCTTGGGGTCAAGCAGGAACGCATCTCCTGCCGAGTCTGCCGCAGCAGTGATGCCATCTTCGTCAAGCTGATCCAAATCCAAGTTCTCGGATTGCCACTTGTTCATGGCAAAGGTCCAAAACGTAGTCTCAGGGATAGATGTGTGAACAGATGGACTTGCAAAAGGATCCGTTTGAAACACTAACAAAAAAAAACATTTTTGGACACCCTAGATTTCCTAGCCTCAAACTTGGACGGAGAGCGCAGCTTTGACTTCAAGCTGGACTCGAACTTGTTTCGCAAACACTCCCAAATCATCCCGGTAGTTTTGGTGCTGGATTTGTACCTGCCTGCAAAGGTTGCCTTGTCACCATCGTTCTTGCGTTTTTTCACAGCCATGTCCTTTGCCTTAGCCTGCTCCTTTCCCTTCGCCTTCTCCACCTTTGCCTTTGGGGATGCAGCCACCTCGGCCTCCTGAGACTCTTCAGGTGTTTTCTGTCCCTTTGTCTCGCTCTTCTTTGGTCTGCCTCGTGCCTTTGCCTTGGGCTCCTTGGCGTCCTTGGGTGCCTTGGATGCCTTGGGTGCCTTGGGTGCCTTGGTATTCTTTTTACCCCTACTTTTTGCCTTTGCCTTTGCCTTGCCCTTAGGTTTTCCTTTTCCCTTGGCCTGTGCCTTTGCCTTCGCCTGCTGATCCAGCTCCTTTTTCCATGCCTGCTGTTGCAAGCGAGTGGTCTCTGCCTGACGGTCGCTGTGGAACGAAATTGGTTGGACTGCGAAATCGTTTCAAAACCCAAAAGGGTGGGCAAATAAAAGTTTTACTCCTGACCTCCGGCTGATCCAAAACTGAAACCTGCGCTTGCTGTGCCCCAGCCGTCTTCCCATCCTTCGCGGCATCCTTCACTTCCTTGACCTCCTCGGTAGGAAGACTAGAGGAACTTGGCTCGGCAGCAATCTGCTCGGGCACTGGGGGTTGTGGCTCTCCCATGTGCAACGACTTGGATGCCACAGGAGCTGAAGCAACCATTGCAGCAGCAATGGGAGAGAGATCCATAGGAACTGTGTCGACTGCATTGACATCCACTGGTGGGCCTCAAGTGAAACTTATGGGCCAAACAAAATGTTCAAGGTTGTGCCACTTCATGCAATGCTTCCCTTAATGTCAAAGAACATTCTGAACATTGGGTTAGTATTGGTCACTGTTATTTTGGGGGTCTATGTCAAGGGTTTACAATAAATAGGGGATGGGGTTGGATACATTGGAAACAAACTTGATTCAAAGCTTTGGTACTAAATACAACCCAAAAATCCTGAAAAAACAGCATTTCCATCGGGAACGCCATCACCACATCGATTGAGACGAGCAGCGATCAATTTCCTGGGAATCGTGTAGACCACTTTTGGAAGGGGAGTCTTAACCCATTAGTCCGAAACACATATGCAATTATGTATTACTTGTTTTTTATTAAGAAAGGTCACACTGGATGATTGTAATTCTAGTTGGCAAGGCTCTTCAAATCTGAAATGCGCTTTTGGCGCCACTGAGCCCGGTCACCATCAGCCATAGTAGGGACCAAGGGAGCCCCCAAAGAAGAACTGTCCCCAACATGTGGCTTGGCCTTCACTGGGGTCATCCGGTCCACGCATGAATCTGGAACGCCCAATGCCTTGGCCAGCTCGACGTCCTCCATGTCATCGAAGTGATCATTGGGGTCCTCATCACAGGCCGGAAGATCGGGTTCGGATGAGAGGCGGCTGGGAGCATCATCATGCAACTTACCACCATCACCCCCACCACGTCCATCTCCATTGCCATCATTATTTGGGCCACCCGCCCCATCATCACCCGGGCCGTTGCGATGGTCAGCATCGGAATCCTCCCCTTCCGCACGCCAGTAGGATCGATACTTGGCAAACAATGTTTCCAATGCAGGGTCCTTAGATTGGAGGTTCCAACATCTTCCCCAAACAAAGAATATTTTGATAAGATACCACGACAAATGGGTTTTTATTAGCCCAATTTGTTTGGAATCCTAGATGGTGGTAGTGGGATTAAGGTTTTGTCCAACCCCAAATGCATCAATAATAAATGGATGTTGGAATCAAGGGACCCTTCGTTTCTTTGAAGTATGGAGACGGTGGACAATCAGGCTCAAGAAGCCTTTCAGGCCATGTCCATCACAGTGCACCATCGGAGGGTTTGCAGGTAGTAAGAGGCTAGCCCGGGCCTCCTTCACCTACGGCTATGCCAAACATTGGTGTGAACCCCCGGAATCAACTCATGCAGACCTGTAATACCCAACTACCCAACACAAAAAACGTCAAAGAGGTATTTGTTTATTTCTGCTATCCCCCTCCTATAGCCATATATTATATAACCCCTATCCTATAGGCTGATAAACGTCATGCACATGGATTCTATATTTGGGGAAAATTTGTATTTTGGACTACAGGTTCGTGTTTTGGAGTTCGGCCTGCTGCTTCTGAAGACCAACAGGTGTAGTAATTGGGCCAGTCCACTGCGGGCACCATACATCAGCTAGAAGCATCATCACCTCAATGTTCAAGCCAAGGGATTTCAGGTTCACCACCCCAACCAACTCCGGGGATTGCCAGGAAAGCAAGGGCTTCCCCTCCAGCAGCTTGTGCCGAAGGCCGGGATGATTGGCTATGCTCTCAGCAAAGCCCTTGAGGGACATGTCAAGACAATCAGACTATAGTCCACTTGTGCTAGCGACTTGTACCAACTTGATCCTGAGCAAAAAGAAATCCTGCGCACAAGAAATGTCCTGTTGGCACATGAATGACCATGTGTGCACAGGCACCTACAAATGTGAGAGTGCGGCAAGCGAGATCGTGATGTCTTTTGGACATTCCAACCCCCATGAAAGGTTTAGAATTTATCAATTTCATATTCAAAGGCTGATGTTGCATCATGAAACTCAACCCAACCCCAAGTGACATTCGTGGGGCACTGCTTGGGCATTGCAGTCAAAGACCTTCACATTGCGTCTCACCTGCGCGGGGTGCCGAAAGCCATAGGCATTAGATTTCTTTTTATATTTATATAAGGCCTGCGGGGGCCAACATGTTAAATCCGAACTTCTGCAGCAAAACTTTTCATTTGTCCATCGGTCAGGGTCCGGCCCCTTGCTGTTCCACCAAAACTAGCTCCTAAACTAACTAGGCAGAGCCCTTTCCATCCTGCTTCACCTCATCGGTTTCCACATTGCCTAAGCTAGGGTTGTGAGCTATTGGAGTTCCCTGCCTTGAAAGGGTTTGCTAAAATTTTAAAAAACACTTGGCAACTTGGATCTGAGTAGCAAACAGCACTGGCGAAAAAAATTGGCCAAGCGGTGCACGGCTCCATGTTGGTCATAGTTCTGAAGGATGACTGTGCACTTGTTGTTGTCAAACGTCACCTGCAGAATAGGGGGGCCCAAAAGTATATAGATGTTATACTGTACATTTGATTCTGTTGGACTACTCCAAACTAAGTTGGTGGGTGATCTCGCCTTGTCAGTCACTTCGCCTGGGAAAAGCACCTTGGAAACTTCATTCCAAAACTGGGTCGGCATGTCATCCAGTCCTGGCAGGAACCCCCAAAATATCATCTTACCAGGGTGAGCTGGCAAAGCAGTAAATGTTGGTTCCAGTCCTGCTTTTTTCAGTTTGTCAGCTATTTCAGCACTGCAACCATCAAACGCCATGTGCTTTGAATTAAATACTCACACAGTCCACACTTAGAGCCAGGAGCTATCATAAGCTGAAGAAATGATTGTCAGCACACCCCCATTCACAGAGTGCACCCAGAAAAGCACAGGTTGCAGGTCAAAGGGGGGGCGCACCTGTGCCTCGAAAGTGGTCCCCGGAGTTTGGAATTAAGAAATGGCTTCAGAAAGCACAAACCCTAGTTTGGTCAACTTTGATCAAGTTCCGCCTGCTCATCCCAGATTCCGCCTAACGGTCCATTCTGCCCATATGGTCAGAAAAAGGTAGGGGTTTGGAGGATAGAGGTACCTCTTCTGTACACCATTTGTTGAGCCGGCGCCATATCTTTGGGGACCCGATGCTTCCAGAGAGTCTCAGGTCAAATGCGTTACCCGTCAGCGTCTCAGGACAAAGCCTGTGATTTTGGCTGATTGTGCTGCTTTCCCTGATAATTATTATGCACAGGGAGATGTAGGGAGATTTCATCAACAAAATTGAGGTGGAAATGGTGGAAATAGCTTGGGATGATCTGGGATGTGTCAAGATCCATTAAAATCCTCCAATTGTCCACATGAAAAGAGGCTGAAGATCCACCAGAGTTTGACCCATAGTCATGCTGTCATCGGCCGATGGGGTGTTTAGTAATCATCCCGAAGGCATGGCAGGGTATCACATGGCCATGCCGGCCGAGGTCAAACAGCTCCATCTCGAGAGCAGTTGACGGAACGGCAGGAGGAGAGACGGCAAGCGGCTGCGCGTTTAGATGAGTTGGGGACCCTAGGGACCCTAGGGACCGCGGGGACTGTCACTTGTGGATCTTGTTGATGTGGGGGAGAGTTGCACATTTTTTTAAAAAGTCATGTGTTGTAACCAACGCAAATTGGGATTTATAACATTTTTCTAGTTCTGTATAAGCATTTGATGGTGAGACAATTGGGGAGATTGTATAACTTACTTATGCATTATGAAATACTTATGTCCTATCTTAAGGGGATGTCTGGCATACTTGCATTTATGGTTCGCATCGGGCTGGTAGGTACCTGCGCGCGTTTGGATAGGTCATGAGTTGAGAATGCTCTGGTCTTGACAACATTTTTCATGTTTGGTCATGTTTTCAGCGCAGGACGAACTAGCTTTTTGGACTCAACTGTCATCATGAGTGCAACATTTACGGAAGGTCAGAATGAATTGAATGATCCAGAAGTTGACAGGGAGCCAAAGTTCCGCCCCATAAGATGGGGGCAGATGCACGCAGATGCAGCAAATGCAATTTAGCAATGACACCGGAAGGAAAAATAGGACAGTGCTGGATGTTGTGCTCAGCCTTGTAGAAATTTGCGCAAAAACGGGCCCCTCATTGCTTTAATGACAGGGAAGTCGCAATGAAAAGTGTGGTTACGTAAGAAGTAGGAACCTATGGATATGAATAGATTAGATGTACAATCCTCGCGCAATGGTCTTGGGGAGAGATGGTTTAAGGGTGAGACCTCTGCAGCCTATGCATTGAGATCAGAGCCGGGACCCGGGAACAGATGCATCGAGTTGGCCATCACGACCTTGGATCAATGAACATATGTTTGCAGATTGGACTTCGTAATGCAGGAGCCCCAAAATCAACAGGTAAATGATCTTTTAATTTGTTTTTCTTCAAAGGCAGGAGTGGATTTATCTGGTTCCAGCCCTTTGTTCACAGAACTTGCGCACGCAGAAAGGCAAGTGCACCCGTGCACCCCTCACATACACACCTTCTCTCTCTCTCTCTCTGGCCAGGTGTACAACATGTACTATCATGTATCTTAGATGCTTTTAACAGGTAAAAAACAGCAGAGTTTAATTCTCATGTCAGGCTGCTGGTCATCAGCCCCCATTAATGTTGGTGGTTTCTGGTTTCTACCACCACCAAGGCTCATCCGTGAACTCTTTCGCCTGCAGGAGATGGGGCTGTCACATGGATCCATGGATGAACACCTTGGAACATCACCATGTCACCATGTCCTGCCGTTGTGGCAAACCTTTCATGGATTGTGATAAAACATTCCTTTGGGGCTTGTTGAATTAGATCTTTGCATTGTGCTGAAGCATGCTGAAGCGCAGCTGTTCAGCGCATTCGGAAGCAATCTGAGATAATCTGAGAATCGCACTGACTGGCAGGACATTAGTAACTGTTTGTATGTGCCATTTTCCTGGGCGATAATCAGAGTTCCAAACTGATCATCCGAGATATCGGAATGTGGTTATATATATATGATATATTATATTTGTAGATGTTATGTATACATAGACAGGCATGTGAACACAGACGCCTTGCATTCAGAT